AACTTGTATTTTTTGGCTAGTTCGCTCTTAGCTTAATACATATTAAAGTTACAAAAATTAGAACAAGAAATTATTTTTGTTAGTTAATACAATATCTTTAACTATGAGAAATTTTATAATACGTAAGGAATAACTAGTGGCGATATACGAGTAGTTACTTCTTAGGTCCATTTTGAGGAGAGAGCGGACGTGAAAATCTTCTTATCACTTTTGATGGGTATAAATGTAATTTTTTCTTTTTTATGTGTCTATCTCTCTCCTCAAAATGGATACAACTAATTACTCCTTGTGTATTATAAAATTTTTCTTAAAACTATATCTTTAACTAGGTTATCAGTTAAAACATTCTTTGTTCTATTCACTCTGACAAAATTAATAAACAGAGATCCCTTGTGAATTCAAAATTGCTGGTTACGTAGCTTTGTTTCCAACATGTTGCAGGGCCTTATCTTAGCTGCCTCAGATACCACAATGGTCACTTTGACATGGATTCTCTCTTTGCTAGTCAATAATCCGAAGGTACTAAAGAAGGCCCAAGATGAATTAGACCTCAATGTTGGTAGAGAAAGGCAAGTCCAAGAATCAGATTTACATAACTTGGTCTACCTCCAAGCCATCGTCAAGGAAACATTGCGTTTATACCCTGCTGCACCACTATTAATACCGCATGAGTCAATGGAAGATTGCTATGTGGGTGGCTACAATATCCCAAAAGGTACAAGACTCCTTGTTAATGTTTCCAAGATACAACGCGATCCACGAGTATGGTCAGACCCTCACCAATTTCAACCAGAAAGATTTCTTACCACTCACAAAGATTTGGATTTTAGGGGTCAAAATTTTGAATACATACCATTTAGTAGTGGTAGGAGGATGTGCTCTGGAATTTCGTTTGCGCTTCAAGTTATGCAGCTAACAATGGCTACTCTGCTGCATGGGTTTGATTTCACAACCCCATCAGATGAACCGATTGATATGACTGAGAGCATTGGATTAACCAACCTTAGAGCCACTCCACTCCACGTTCTTCTGAATCCACGCCTTCCCACTCACCTCTATTTATAGTTCTTGTTGTCCCCCATGTTAAATTCCTGAAATTTTAATTTTTGGTATTTATGTTTGGAAAATGTAATGTATCATTATATAAATGGTTTTGTATGGAATATTAATTAGGGACTTGGCCAATATTTGTTAAGTATAATAGTGGAACCCCTCCATAGCCAAAATATGATCGAAAAATGTGGTCTAAAGTTATTTTGATTTGTCTATAATTATTTCTTAATGATATTAAATTTGGGTTAGTTTGACTTAAAATCAATTTGGTAATCAACCAAATGCTAGACATGTTTTAATATTGGTTTAACTCAAAGAGTGACGAACTTAATTTCAATTGACGTAAAAATTGATCCAAAAATCCTCCCTTCCCACCACACACACACACGCGGAGAGGTCGTCTTACTCCTTAATTCCAATTAAGCCATCACAACTCGCATTAAACATTTCTAATCGTCTACTCCCCACATTCACCATGATCACCATATTTTCCGTTTCCTTTTTTATATATAAATTGTATCAATTGTTCATTCCTTTTTTTAAAAAAAAAAAACGAGAGTTTATTTGAAAGCTAATAAAAGTGTGAATGATACACAATTCAAATCCTATATCATCATAAATTTTTAATCAACTTAAAAGATTTCGACATAAGTAGATACCTATTCATAGATTAATATTAATTGAAATTAATTAAGAATTTAAGGGATTTCATAAATATTGATCTAACATGAAGACAATTTTCTTTTTTTTTAGTTTTGTTTCTCAACTAAAAATATTCAATATACCTTTTAAATTTAATTTTGCGAGTATGAACTTTTAATTGGTTTAAATGAAAACAATTAAAAAAAAACAAATATATTGTAAGTAATCTTAATTTAAAGTTTTTGGTTCAAAATTTTCTCTTATTTTTTCTCCTTAGAGCTTCATTAATGTTTTTTTTTTCGCGAGTAAGGGTGTTTCTTAATCGGCTTTTGCATACTTCGAGATTAATTTCTTCCTAGGCATTGCTAAGGAATACTCTCCAACGCGCAACCTCGAGTATTATGAGAATAAATTCTCAAGAGTGTTAGTTATAAAAGTCAACTTTTGATCCGGCCTACAAATCGACACTTACTCACGAACTCCACCTTGCATTGTAGTTAATGTATTTTTTTTTTTTACACACTATAGTTTTCTTATATGATATATTATGATTATCTAATAAATGAATCCCTACTAATGACTCTTTTTGTTATTTGCAAAGTGGTTTTGTCTTCAATGGTGGAGCTTGACTTAGATTTTGGGGGAGGCCAATTATGATAGGTACTATCATTTACTTATTTCATTAAAGAACACGTATATTCAAAATAGTTCAAGATATAGAAATAAAGAGTAAATATTAAAAATAAATTAATGATTTATGCAACTAATATCACATACACTTATCAAAGTAGCACTTGGCGCTCACCTAAATCATTAAATTCATTAACAATGGAATTAAAGTAAAAAAGTTCAACAATCTCTTTCTCAATATTTACAACTAAATTGTCTATAAGAAATTGATATTTCATCTTATTGTGGAGCCTTGTTTTAACCAATATCATTGCGAGAAAATGCTCGTTCTATAGTAGCTACGAAATAGAAAGAGTCAACATAAGATGAAGCAATCTATCAAGCAAATAAAATGTCTTCGATTTCTCTATTTCCACCAAATGCTTGACAAAGTTCAAGTATTGTACAACGATTCTTCAATTTTGAATGATGAGATGTGTCAAAAATAAAATATTATAATTGAAATATCAAAGCAATTTTTTCATAATTTGTAAAATCCATAGGATAGTATTTTTTCACAAGACTCGCAAATATCATCACTATTAAATGCTTTATAAGTATTATTATGAACCAAAGCTAAACTAAAAGTTAAAAGCTCCATTGCTTCCTCACTAAAGCGATAATTCAACTCTTGTAATTACTTGTCTATTGTAAGCGAGAAAAATATCCACTCGATAATAATGCTTGATTGTGATTTGGTCTTGGTTGTTCCTCACTCGACCTCGACATGCTACACAAGAAGCACTAAAGTCCGGAATCTCAATTTGATGCTTTTGACAAAATAATTTAATATTTTCAATCAAAATATCCTAGCCATTCTTCCTTAATTGTTAAACTAATTGTTTTGTAGTTGCCACTGATTGTACAGCACTGAGAATGTCTCGAGATTTTTTTGTAGACCATAACAAAGCATATTTGTGATTTCCATAATCTCTTTCACCAGGTATAAAGATAAACATAAATTTTCGAGGTGAAAATTCACAAAACGTAATTTGTTTTTCAATCACTTCTCTAAGAAAATGATTATTGAAAGACAATAAATCATCATAGAAGTCATAAATAACATAATTTTAGTATTAATTAAAATCCTAAAATATACACATTAAACTATAACAATTATATGCATCAAAATATAATTCATTTGTGTTTTGTCATGACCCATAGCCAATAAAGCATAACATATATAAAAGAAAAACAAATAAGTTACTAAAAATATCAAAAAAAAAAAATCTTATATAAATTCAGAATTTAAAAAATAAATAAATAGAAAGCATTGTTTTGATGAAATTTGTACCCTTGAAATAATTATCTCTTGATGATGCTAGAACTTAATATCCAAAAGAGTAAACTTCAAAGAAATTGAAAGAGAGATTCACATAAAAGCATTCTTCGTATGTCTGATTTGCAATACAAGATTCCAAATAAAGTACCATTGCTATATTTATTTTACTAGAAGAATTCTATGAAAATCTTAATTTCGTTTGCTTCTATTTCCTTTTTATCATTAATGTTTTTTTTCTAAATTGTGTATTATAGATCGGGAAAGCTAACGAGTATCGTATAATAAACTTCTATTAGTTCAATCCTTTATTTATTTTTTTCATCTTTATTTTATATATATTTATATATATTAATACAAAAGAAGTTCTATTAATGATTTATAGGTTATATTATTTTGTAATTGATTAGAACTTCAGAATAATATTTTTTTCACAATAAATACTTTATGCAATCATAGGCCCAGCCCAGCCTGAACAAACCCACCTAACCTAGCCCAGCCCATAATAAAAACTCGTCAGCTTCGAAATCCCCGCTCCTTCTCTCTTAAACCCAGGAACACAAACCGAGTTGAGTCCAAACTGAGGTGATTCACCAATGTCACACACAGCAATACAAGCCGGAGCGCATGGTCGACGAGCTAGACGAACTAGAACCTTAAGGGAGCTTCATGCGAAGAGAAATAGCAGAAATTGTAAAACAAAGACGCAAATTTGAGTACAGATGGAAGTGGACAAGTCCATTAAAGCAAGATTTTTAGTTTTTAGCTTACATAGAGTAAAAGACTCAACTTGTGACTCGTCAGTGGCGTGCGAGCTTGAAAAGAGAAGAATAAGAAGAGGAGGAGAAGAAGCACTTGTTTTTCTTTTGCTTTTAAAAATAAAATAAAAGGCCCCGTAGACAAATAAACAAAAATCAATATGAATAAATAGAAAATTACATACTACAAGACTTCTAGTGCCATTGTTACCAACTTTAGTTAGAAGAACTGGATTAGGCACAGCTCCCGAGTTCTAGTGACGAGCTTCCTGACGTAACAAAGTAGAAACCTGACGAAGCAGCCATCGTTTTTGGCTGAGAGTCGGTGGAAAGAAGTAAAAAGACAAACGCTCAATTATACTAGAACTATAAAATATTGAACTCTGAATTCAAATTTCGATCTTGAAAATGGAAAGGCATATAGTTTAATTCCACTTGGTAGAAGAATCAAAGTTTGCAATTACTATTACTGGAAGCACTTGACCTATTCTATATTATAACAATAGAGGGCACATGAAAGTCATATATTTATATTATACATCAACGACTAGATCTTGAATTCCAATTCCAAAACTTCTGCCTCTAATTAACACCAATACATGGATTATCTGACCACCATACTTGCTTTTTCCCTTTTACTTTACGCCCTTTCATGGATATCAAGAACGAGCAAGAAAAAAGCAGCACCGCAAGCTGGAGGTGCATGGCCTTTGATCGGCCATTTGCATCAATTAGGAGGGCCACAACCACCGCACATAGTTTTAGGCAACATGGCTGACAAATATGGGCCAATCTTCACCATTAAGATGGGACTGCATCGAGCTCTAGTTGTAAGCAACTGGGAGATGGCAAAAGAATGCCTTACTACCAACGACAAAGCCTTCGCTAATCGTCCGAATTTTCTAGCTGGTCAGATTTTGGCCTACGATGGGGCTATGCTAGGGTTTAGTCCGTACGGCCCGTACTGGCGTCAACTGCGCAAGACAGCCACACTGGAGCTTCTCTCAAGCCATAGACTCGAAATGCAAAAAGCCGTAAGAGAATCTGAGATAAGGTTGTCTCTGAAAGAGTTGTACAAATATTGGGATCGGAAGAAAAGTAGCTCAAAAATTAGTAAGGTTCTGGTAGAGATGAAGAGTTGGTTTGGAGACATAACCATAAATGTTATTTGTCGGATAATTGTCGGTAAATCTGTGGGATATGCCACCACAAATGGGGATGAAGATGAGAGTACTGAATCCTGGAAAAAACAATTGAGTGAGTTTTTTGATTGGACAGGGAGGTTTGTTCTGTCTGATACGCTGCCATTTTTGAGGTTTTTAGACATAGGGGGACCAGCGAGGACCATGAAGAAGATAGCAAAAGATTTAGACCATGTTGTTGAAGGTTGGTTAGAGGAGCATAGGCAGAAGAGAGTAAATGGTGATCAGGTAATTAAGGGAGAGGAGGACTTCATGGATTTGATGCTATCCATTTTTGATGAAGCACATGCAGCCCAATTAGGTCGAGATTCTGATACCCTCATCAAAGCCACATGCCTGGTAATCATCTCCTTTTTAACCCTTTTCCAATCAATTGATATTTGATTATTTGTTCTAGTTTAAGAAATCGAACTTGTATTTTTTGGCAGCCACCTTCTAGCTACTTGGCTCTTAGCTTAATGCATATTGAAGTTACAAAAATTAGAACGCAACAAGAAATTCTTTTTGTTAGTTAATACTATATCTTTAATTAACTAGGTTATCAGTTAAAACATTCTTTGTTTTATTCACTCTGACAAAATTAATAAACAGATTTCTTGTGAATTCAAAATTGCTGTTTACGTAGCTTCGTTTCCAACATCTTGCAGGCCCTTATTTTAGCTGCCTCAGATACCACAATGGTCACTTTGACATGGATTCTCTCTTTGCTAGTCAATAATCCGAAGGTACTAAAGAAGGCCCAAGATGAATTAGACCTCAAAGTTGGCAGGGAAAGGCAAGTCCAAGAATCAGATTTACGTAACTTGGTCTACCTCCAAGCCATCGTCAAGGAAACATTGCGGTTATACCCTGCTGGACCATTATCAATACCGCATGAGTCCATGGAAGATTGCTTTGTGGGTGGCTACAATATCCCAAAAGGTACAAGACTGCTTGTTAATATTTCCAAGATACAACGTGATCCACGAGCATGGTCAGACCCTCACCAGTTTCAACCAGAAAGATTTCTTACCACTCACAAGGATTTTGATGTTAGGGGTCAAAATTTTGAATACATACCGTTTAGTAGTGGTAGGAGGATGTGCCCTGGAGTTTCGTTTGCGCTTCGAGTTTTGCAGCTAACAATGGCTACTCTGCTGCATGGGTTTGATTTTGCAACCCCATCAGATGAACCGATTGATATGACTGAGAGCATTGGATTAACCAACGTTAGAGCCACTCCACTCCACGTTGTTCTGAATCCACGTCTTCCCGCTCACCTCTATTTATAATTCTTGTTGTCCCACATTTTAAATTCCTGAAATTTTAATTGATGGTATTTATGTTTGGAGAATGTAATGTATCGTTACATAAGTGGTTATATTTGTGGACTTGCTGTTATGAGCTTTATAAAGGGAGATTTTGCAGCTTTATGGACAAAGAACAACTACATGTGCATAGCAGGCCATAGCTCTGCTTGAACTGCTCTACATGGTATCATTAGACATGAAACTTGCCACTGTATCCTCTCGTATAGTTGATGCTTTGATTTGTAAGACAAAACGGTCCAAGCTTCTCTTAAATTTTAAGTCAATTGAAAATTGATTTCTCAGCTTTTATTTAAAAACTAGCTGGAAAGAGATCCGATCCGAAATTAAAAGTTGGAAGACCAGTTTTCAAATGATTTAAAGTTGAAGGGAGGTTTACATCATTTAGTCATTTTATAAATTATACAATAGAATCTTTCCCCAATTTGTGTAATCCAAATTATACAGAACATTTGGAAACTACAATTATGTCCACAGAATCAGAGTGGTGGAATTTTTTCACTAGACAAGAAAAATCATGGTGTCATTGCTTGCCAAATTATTTTGAGTGCTGATTACCAATCACTTGAAACAATATTTGAAGATCTCTGGCTAAATCCTTCCAAGTTCCAAATTTACATGCCATTCAAGAACATACTATGATACGTTTAATATTATATGGACTTTTTGTAATCATTAAGAAATTGCTAAACATGAAGCTGCACTAATATATAATGAGTAACTGGAACCAGAAGCTTCATTGAGATCAAGGGGAAAAGTATTGCTCTACCATTGAAGTTCTTGTATTATACTCTTGGCCATTGTGGACTTACTACCTGCACAAGCCACATCAATGACCAAATCAGTGTTCCATATAGTATAATGAGAAAACAGGAGCAACAGACAACATATAAGAGGACGTAATTTCTCCCAACTTAACAATCCAAGCTCTCATTTACACATGCAATGCTTTAGCCAAGCATCAATTTCTATGGAAGAGATTAGCCACCGCATCATTAATTGGCATGAATTTGAGGCTATAGTCGTCAAGAAACGTGATTTTGACAAACTAAATAACTAAGATAAACCAAATCAATGTTCCATATAGTATAATGAGAAAACAGTAGCAACAGACAACATATATGAGGACGTAATTCTCCGAACTTAACAATCCAAGCTCACATTTACACATCCATTGCTTTAGCCAAGCATCGATTTCTAAAGGAAGAGATTAGGCACCGCATCATTAATTGACATGAATTTAGGGTTATAGTCCTTAAGAAATGTGATTTTGACAGACTAAATATCTAAGATTAAAATGCACAACAAAATTCAGAACCCAAGGTCTGTATGTTTCTGCAGGAAGTGCAAGTCATAAAAACAGCAGGCATTGGGTTCAGTACAGTGTTCATTAAGATGGTTTAGTATCAGATCTCTAGTCATTAACTGAAAAACGAAGGCAAAGTCTGCTAACCTCAAGTGTGCTGAAAACTAGTCGCATTCGACTGGCAACAACTGATGGCTCCTCAGCACGCCCTGAAACTGCCATTTGCTCTAGCTGAAGAGTCTTAACTGGAAGCCTTAGGCAAACAAGAAAGAGAAAAAAAGCTAAGACCTGTCATGCAATCTTAAATGCAGATGCTTTCATGGAATTATAAATAAGTGCCAGGTGAAGTAAAGAAGGCATGTTATTTCAAAACATATGTAACTGAGAACTGATCAGGACCATAATGGCAAGCAAAAGATATTTGAATAATTGAGTAACTACACTTGATAAAATTTACAGTGTGGTCTCACTCATTCCACCTAAACAACCAATAAGGACAACTCTGTATGGGTTAAACCACACACAAAAAAATAAGTTAAATAAATAAATAAATAATAAAACTAGTTATAACCCAAATTTTACGGGTGCTTTGATTGGATTGTCAAGAAAGCACACCAACCACGTCACAAGTTCATGTATGTTTGATATCAATGACTCTTGGATGAAATACTAGTAAAATAGATGTGTTAAAAGCCACTCACCATGCCATTCCTCTCATGTAGTAAGCATTTGCTATGATCGCACAAAATCCTTTCCACTGTAGCCGTATGTCATCTGACACTGGAGGTGTAGATGACCATCGAACTATAGTTGGTTGTGGTGTACACAAGATAGTGATAAATATAATGCTCAACCACAGAATACACTCGTCAATCTGCAGTACAAGAAAAGAAGTTGGAGATTCCACACCATACATCATCATCAGTTTCCTTAATTACTTGAAATCCTGGCTAAGGATTTATCTGCTCGACATGAAGATTATAATTGCAAGTCACAATTGCCATAGACCAGTATTTCCAAAAAGAAAAAAGAAAGTTGCAAAAAAAAGTTTTGTTGGGAACAAAAAGTTTCTAAACAATAGATGCAAATCATTCTTTTGGCATCTGTTGGTATCTCAGAACAAGAGAAAGAGAGGGCATGGATTCCTTTTGTAAGCATTCTTTGTCTTCTTCCTTAAGAGTATTTATTTTAAATTCAAATAAAGCTGCAGCATACAGACAGCAAAGACAATAAAAACCACCATAATATTGACAGTGCATATCAAGGATCCTTACTGTGCTAGGAGAAGCATTTGCCAAACAATAGTTTAAGGCCTATAATGTCCCAGCCGGAAAGAAAGATGCAACACTGAAGTGTATTCGATGCCATTGTGCTTGATTTATTCTTAATTTCAAGTATATAACAGTTATACATTGAACTAGCCAAGTAGACAGGATCAATTTACCTCCTCAGCAAATATCTTGGACTTCACACTGGTGTTTCCACCATAATTCTGCAGCGCTTCAATTTCAATACCAGATTCCTTAATAGCAGCAAGTTCCTTGCGTAATCCTTCATCAGTGCAGCCAACAGCATATGCATTCACTCCAGCACTGATGAATTCCTGACAGGCAGCATCACTCAAACGTGTAATTTAGGAATGGCAGCAAAAAGAGATCCCACATAATGATGGATAAAGAATAAATTGCTGAATATACTTTTAAGTTGTCACCTCCACCACGATCAATGACATTCCTGTATCGCCTAAACAAACTGATTGCTATGTTTCGAGAAGAACGATACTCATCATCAAGTGAATTAGAATCATGCGATCGGCACTGTAACATGTAAACCATTACTCATTGAATGCTCAATCAAACTCAAAACAAAAGAAACTCTTAAGCAGTGAAGCTTCACTGATGCTTACCAACCATTTATTTGAAGCCACTCGCTGTAATAAATGATGGGGTCTAAGCTGGCAACACCCCTTCCAAGAAAAAGTGGAATCATTTGCTACATTACTACAAGGACCACACACAATTCTAGGAGAGACTACGGTAATCGAAGCTTTGATATGAGTAATCTTGCAAAAAGAAGCATCTTGAAGTGTGTTAACAACCAGAAGTGTGGGGCACTTGCTAATAACTCCAGATGGATAGATGGTTACCATGGTTGAACCATCATAAAATTCGTTACCTTCAAAACAGAAGACAAGCACTCATAAACAAACCATAAATTCAGCTATAAGCATAATCCTTGTATTGATAAATATTAAATCATCACATAGTCTTAGCGTCCCTAAATTGGTCTAGGATACCACCTAGCTGAAACACACTCATAAGCCATTTTCCCAAAATGATTACAAAAAAAAGTCTCCAAGTTTGTGTTTTCAGTTTCCAATGAACTTCTCTAATCCTGGCTGGCCCATCTAATCTAGAAATCAGAAGAAAGGATTGAAGCTATAGGCTTATGCTCACGTTTAGCTTTTTATTAGCTAATAATTAGAGAAATATTTTCATTCATCCAATCACATATAAACTACAAACAAAACCATCAGTGCCACTTCAAATTCATTTTCCATCTCAAATTCCCTCAAGTTTCTAAGCTACCAACCAGAACCTTAACTCGAGCCAACAAAAACATGGGTTTTCACTCTCATAGGATAATAGCCACAAAAATCAATCAAACAAAACAAGGGTTTTTCTTCCCTAAGGATTATAGTAATAAAAATCCAATCTTTCAACTCCAGCACAATCAAAACACAACAAAATGGAAGAAGCAACAGATCAAAAGAAATGAACTTTACCTTATCTAGATTCAGATAAGCTCATCAGAAGCAATATAACTAAGAGGGTAATGGTTCAATGGACAGAAAATTTGGTGAAAAGTCAAGTATGGATAGTTGGTTGGTTAATAAAGAGTGAGAGCAAGAAAGAATCTCTTTCAATCATATGGGGAAGTACTTAAGCCACCAATATATCGAATGGCTCAGAAAGATTCCAATGATGGGTTGATTCCACCAAAAAAATTTCTGGTTCTTGTTGTTAGAATCGCTGTGTGGGTGACTGTGACTTTGAAAGCTTTGTCCTCTCTGGGATTTTGCGTGGCAAAGTTCTATATTCATACGGACGATGATGCCTAGAGGGGGATGCTTGCAAGTTAGAAAATGACTTTGAAATCCTTTGTTTACTTTTTTGCCCTTAAGAACCGGAAGGAACGGCCACGGGCCATCTAACAAAATCAGAGTAAATTATAAACTAGTCCTTTTAGTTTTGAGACACGAACTAATTAGTCTTTTTTATTTTAAAAAACTAATTATGCAATTATTTTATATCTATTTTTATTTTCTATTCTAATTTTTTAAAAAAAATAAAAAAGAAAAAGAATGCCATTTTGGGATTTGCTCTAACGGAAGCAATCACCCTCTTTATTTTTTCTTTATGTACATAAATTGATATATAAAATATGGAGTAGTCATTTTTCTACATACCTCGCCTTATTAGGAAAATTGGTTTTGCCTTTCAATGAGAGAATAAGAGCTAATTCAAAATCAATAAATAGATATTATAGGAAGATTGTTGATAAAAAAATATTTTTAAAATAAAATAACATTAAATTAAACTTGATTAATACCAATCAAGAAATAATAATTAGTTTTTTGAAATAAATAAAAAAATTATTTATTTATTTATTTAAAAAAAAACTAGATAGAATAATTTATAATTTTCTCAACAAAATCGTAGTAATTGTTATTATATCCTAAACCCTAAAGGTTCTATCTACAAAATTAATATTGCCACTCTATTATTGATAATAACATTCTAGTCGATAGTGCTATTATAACAATATGGAGTGTCATTATAATCAATCATCAAGTCCTATAAAATGTACTTTTTATATAACTTTTCAATATAGAAAAAATGATGATTCCTAACAATATTGAGACATCCATGTAATTTATCCATGTGAAAAACTTGCCCGATATCAATGAGTTATAAGTCTATTCATCTCTAACTTCTAGTCTAGCTCAAATGCTAGGAGACATACAAGTCTGCTAAGCAAGTGCCAAGTTGAAAAAGAAAAAAGAAAAAAGAAAAAAAAATCATATGCTAGCAAATCAACATGAAAAGGTGCTAGTGATTAGCAAATCTTAATTCAACATGGAAATGATACGAGGTGATTGGTATTTATGCAATTTATTTATGGTAATTCTTAAGGGTTGGACACTTGACACTTGTTGGTGATATGGTTGGTCAAAGAACAAGTCTTTACTTTTATTGGTTTAGTTTTGAAGAGTTTGATTATCTTTGAATGTGTCTATCTTAAGCATGAGATAGATACAATGCTGAAATTACAGGAAAAATCTTGAAGAATTGATGGATATGGTGGCCTTGTATTTCATACCACTCATATTCCGAGCTCGATAAAATTGCAGAGGGTTCTTTTATACATATAGAGAGAGAGAGAAAGAGAGAGGTAAATGATCGAGATTTTTTTTTAAAATTTTTTTTAGTCATTTGAAAATCGATTTTTTAATTTTTGATTTTGATTTTGGATTAGACTTCTTTTCAACTATTTTTTATTTAAAATTAAATCACATAATTAAAATTTTGTTAATTCTAACATATAATTGCAACATTTCAATAGTTAAAAATATACTAAAACTAATAAATATTTTATTTTTCTTTTTAGAATTTGTTTCTTCTATCTTAAATGCTAAAAATAAACAACTAAAGAATATTTTAAAAGAAAATAAATAAGAAGAAATAAAATATTTATAAAATTTGACATATTTTTAAAGAAAGAATCAAATTCAAATAAAAAATAATTCAAGAGAAATGTAACTCAAAATTAAAAACTAAAAAAATGATTTCTAAATCACTTAAAGTGTGTGTATATATATAAGTTTTAACCATTTAACCAATAATCAGAGAATTGATTGTGATAAAATAAATACCCACATAACTTGACATTGATCTGCCAAGAACAGGCAAGGCAAGTACAAACTTCTACTTGTTACATAGCCAAATCCCTTCACAAAATTAGAGGCTCATCTTTAAGCGTCCTACTAACTGCCTGCCACTGACAAGATCTCACCTTGACTCTTGACTCTTGCTGAAAATGGAACTCCTGCTGGATTCTTAACATGCTTGTACCATAAAAAGTAGGTCATCAACTCTGCTATTGTCAGGACTCTCGTGACTGTTTCCAGAGCCACCAACTCCCAAACCCTAACTTGTTCAAGACATTAAACGTATTACAGCACCCACATCTGAACTGCCAATAGCCTTTCCTTAACTTAGTGGAATCCTCGATCCTCTCAAATCTCACCGACCCCAATTTTTTTTTTATTCTTCTTCAGACACAGTGATACCTCAACACCTAACAGGTCATCTGTCAGGATTCTAATCCCATGTTGCCAGTTCCACTATCAATAACCTTACACCCTATTCTTTATGTGCTCTGATTTAAGATGACTGCTCATCACCTTAACATCAACATGTTTATGCTTCTCATGTGGGTCCTCCTTACAAGGTAAGCCCCTTTAACAGCTGAACAAACAAAAGACTGACAACTGAAATCCTTACATAATTTAGTTTGATCTCTACCCCATTACATGAGGATTCGATTTTCACTTTTTTTTTTTTTTCCTCCTTCTTTGTATAGTTTTAAACATTAGCCATTGATAGGTTGAAAAAATCAGGCTTTTATAGCTGATCCAATGTAATTTAAAACTAATATAGTTTATAAAATAATAAATTTAATTTCGATATATATATATAAAGAGTTTCGTTTTTAAATTATGACTTATAAAAATATTTTTAAATTAATTTTTACCTACCAAACTATGTGTAATTCTCTAATTTGATTAGAGATAGATAATTAATGTTGACACTAAAAAATCCATGATAATTTTACTTTTTACGTTAAATGATCTAAAATTTAAATCTTAATGACGATTGAGGAAAATTGAAAAAATCGAGTTAAAATTGAAACAAAAAATGTTAAATAATATTATCCACTTGCTAAAAAAAAAAAAAAAACCTTCCTAGGCACCACTCACTAACGATGGGGTTGTAGTTGGCTGCATCTTGATATGGCAGAGGTACCCTCCTCCACCCACTACACATAACACTAAACATCCTTTTATATAAAACATGGTATAATCTCCAACACATACAAAAGTGCCATATTTTATCTCTCTATCCATTTTCGCTCCAGTGCAAGAGATGCTCTTTTGAGCTCTCCAAGATTTGCTTTCCTTTGAACAGCTCTCACCACCACCAACAATCATGTAAGTCTCTCTATTTCATGTTCAGGACATTTACTATGCAATTATGGTATAAAGATTGCGTCTTTTCTTTTTATATTTGATTTATTAATAAGGGTCCGTGATTGAATGATGATTCTTCTAATGAATAATGAGTGTTTGAATGAGATCCAGAAAACCCATTTTCAATCTGGCAATTTGGTATCTTTTGAGGCTGACAGATTGTTATGTTTCTTAATTGAATTCTGGTTTTTGAGATAGTGTTGGGAAATGGGAAGTGAAAGATTTGTCATTTTTGTTTTGATTGTTAGAATGTTGCCTGGATTGCATATTTTAGTGTCATTAGTTTGTAAATCATGTCCTAGTTTCCTGTACTCTCCTCTCTCGCTTATATTTGTGATTCCTTTTGCTCTGGTTTTAAGGTGCTGGCATCATTTGTCTCTCTATGGGTTTTTTAAATATAAATACATGTATGATCGAAATCCAATCTTTATGTCTATATATATAATCAAAATCCAATCTTTATTCTGCATTTCGCACATGCTGATTATGGTAGCTTCTTCTCGGTGTTACTAGTTGTATCTAAGAGTTCGTATGATTGTTATTTTGATCGGATATATTCAGTTTAGAAAATGAGGGGAGGAGGTTTGTGGCAACTTGGCCAATCAATTACCCGCCGACTTGCTCAGGCTGATAAGAAAGTTGTGGGACGTCGATACTTTGCCTCTGAAGCTGACCTGAAAAAGACTGTTCTTTATGACTTCCATGTTGCTAATGGTGGCAAGATGGTTCCATTTGCCGGGTGGAGCATGCCCATTCAGTACAAGGACTCTATCATGGAATCGACAGTGAATTGTAGACAGAACGGTAGCCTTTTTGATGTCTCACACATGTGTGGGCTTAGCCTCAAGGGAAGGGACTGTATTCCTTTCCTGGAGAAGCTTGTTATTGCTGATGTTGCTGCACTTGCCCCTGGAACTGGGACTCTAACTGTCTTTACTAATGAGAAAGGAGGAGCAATTGATGATTCAGTGATCACCAAGGTGCAGGATGATCACATATACTTAGTTGTGAATGCAGGGTGTAGAGATAAGGATCTTGCTCACATTGAGGAGCATATGAAGGCGTTCAAGGCAAAAGGTGGGGATGTCTCTTGGCACATCCATGACGAGAGATCTCTTCTCGCCCTCCAGGTCAATCCTTGTATTATCTTCGTTTTTCCTTTAATATTCTTGTTGTGTTTTTAATATTCTTGAATTTCCTCATTTTTTCTGATGCAGGGTCCTCTTGCTGCCCCTTCTTTGCAACACCTGACAAAAGAGGATTTGAGCAAGTTATACTTTGGGGAGTTCCGTATCACAGACATCAATGGAGCACACTGCTTTATCACTAGGACAGGGTATGCTTCATTTTGGTTTCTCCCACTTTACATGTCCTCAAATATGAAAGGCACATCGATGGCCATTTATATTTAACCACTAAGAGCTTAAGTATAGCTCTCTTATTGACATTTTACTCTGAGTGTGTGCTTAATTTCTCATATATATTCTCTATTTTCCAACAAAATGATTCAAATATGGTATTTAACTGTAAGACTATTGACATCATGAAGAAGAATTAAGTTAATGATGTCATTTAAACCATGTCTTTCCATGTTTACTTTTCTCTCACTGGTCATGATGGATTAATTCTGTCTCTTTGCTGAGATTTTCAGGTACACTGGTGAAGATGGATTTGAAATCTCTGTTCCTTCAGAGAATGCAGTGGATCTTGCCAAAGCAATCCTGGAAAAATCTGAAGGAAAAGTAAGGTTGACAGGGCTTGGTGCTCGGGACAGTCTCCGACTTGAAGCTGGGCTGTGCTTATATGGTAATGACATGGAACAGCACACAACACCAGTAGAGGCAGGGCTGACTTGGGCAATAGGGAAGAGAAGGAAGGCAGAAGGTGGCTTTCTGGGTGCTGACGTAATACTCAAACAACTTGCAGAAGGTCCAAAAATCAGGCGCGTAGGATTTGTCTCTACTGGTCCACCTCCAAGATCCCACAGTGAGATTCAGGATGAGAAAGGGACCAACATTGGAGAAATCACAAGCGGAGGATTTAGCCCATGCCTCAAGAAAAATATAGCCATGGGGTATGTCAAATCTGGTTTCCACAAGGCAGGCACCAAAGCTAAACTACAGGTACGTGGGAAGGCCTATGATGGAGTTGTCACAAAAATGCCATTTGTACCAACTAAATATTACAAGCCAACTTAACTCAGGTTTGGAACTTCAGTTCCTGCATTTTCTAATCAGTTCCTGTTTTTGACTTGTTCTTGATAAACTCGATCACTTAAACGAAATCTCCCTATTTCTGTCTCTGAGAAGTTCTCTATATCTTGTTCATATATTTTCATTATTAGTTGACAGGAATGATTGTGTTACACCTTTCCAAATGGATGAGAAAACAAATTTCATGATAATAAATGAAAACCACATTTACTTTCTTTATGTGTTGCTCATTCCCATTGCTTTTACACTGCTTGGCAAACAATTTTGTAAGCCTTCTCTGTATATTGGTAGTGCTTTGTTGACTCTGTTGGCATTTAAGCTCGTAAAGAATTGTGCCATGTCTTGGTATGTTCCTCCGCACGAGGACTGGCACTGAATAGCTAAACCATGCCTTTTGAATAGCATCTTGGACCACTGAAGATTTGCTGACCGGAATGCATCTGCAGCCACCAGGCTTTGTCCCGAAGCCGCCGCAACGGTATGCAGTTAAAGGAAGTTTGAGTCGTTGAGATGAGATGGGGGTGGAGTCAGCCAACTCTATGAGAAAAACAAAGCACAAAAGCTCTTGCACGCCAAGATATTCAAGTACACATGGTTTCAAATTGCTTTTAAATCGTTGGTGGCCCTGTTTAGAGTAGATTATAAATTAGTCCCTCTCGGTTCAAGAAACAAATTAATCGGTTCTTCTCGTTTTAAAAACTAATCATTTACAAGGATTTAGTTCATTTTACTCTTAAAACTTCTATGATCAAAGGATTAATAACGATAATCTCAACTAAAGTTTGGTTGCCTAACTTAGTCATCTGGCTTGCTGCTTGGGTGGTATTGATAAGATTGTAGGCTCATTGGGCCACAATGGACTGTTTCCTTAAACCCTAGAGATGGCCTCAAAATGAGACCAAGTCCTTTCATTCCAAGTTCAACTGTTCACATCTGAGAAGTCAGAACTTGTAGGATCTGATATTTTGACTTTTCTCTTGTTGATAATATTATACTGAGAGAGCGGGAGAAAACTTTGGATCAAAGCACACAAAGATCAAGTAGGATCCTTACTATAGTCTTTGCAGCTAAGAGATTCAACAACTTGGGGGATGGAGAGACATTTAATTAACTGGCCATAAGCATTAATTAGGACAAAAAATATGTGAAACTTGTAATCTTTGACAATGCTTTCTCATAACTACGGCCACTTACTTGGAACACATGTAAAATTTAAGTACATCGATTCCCTTTACATTATAAATATCAACTCTGATATGGTTTTTATCTCAAAAAAAAATTATTATTTTTATTTATATATGTTTTAAAATATTTATTTAATCAAAACTTTAAATAACATTCTTTGTAAAAAATATCTATAATTAATATCGATTTCATGTAACGTATAATTAAATTTGATGACCAATAATTCTATAAAATAAATATATTTTAAAAGACTACGAATAAAAAATAACTGATATGACTTAACAAAAAAAAATATATATATTTTTTAATATATGTAAAAAGTAAAAAAGACGATCATTTTGGAACAGAGAAAATATCAATTTACTGATTATCATCCTTGCAAAGGAAGAAAGAAGAGTTTTATAAATGTTAGCTTATGGGAAAAAAATGATTATCATTTACAAAAGAATTTAGATATAATGATCTCTACAAGCTACATTGATGTACAAAAGGAATTTTGGGTGAAAAATGATTAAAAGAATGTGAATTAGTTATGGGCAGAATAAGTCTAATGCTATCAAAATAGCTTGCTAGCAAACTCATCTATGGTGCTTCCATTTATATGAGAAGAAGAGGATTTTCTCGCAAGATCTCTAAGCTGTGACAAGCTTCTTCCAAGCTTCATGGCCACCTTCATTTCAAACATTTCCCCATCTTCTCTTTTCTCCAAATCTCTTCCTTGAATTGTAGATTCTATTGATTCCTCCAAAAGCGTAAAGAATCCAGCACTGTTTCTGTACATTTCAACAACCATACCAACTTGGCCACCATGCTCGAATGCATTGACTGAGCTAGCTAATGCACCAGCTGTGACAGCCACTATTGCTGCCCAAGATCCATGGCCTACAAAGGCAGAACTAGCAGCTGCAATGCCAGTGAGTAATGGACCTGAGATTGCTAAAACCTTGTTCACCTTCAATGCCAAGTTGCCTAGTCTCATGTAATCTTCACTGTCTTTGCTCTTTATCACTTCAATCACCTTTCTCATTTCCTCTTCAAGATCCTCACTCCACCCATTCTTTCCTTGTGTTTTGTGCTGCTTTCTTGGGGATTCACGTGATTTAGGCCACCAAACAGCAGGCTCGAAATTTTCAGGAAACTTTTCAATCATTTTCCCTAACAGAGGAAGAGGGTAAGCTTTATCAAGACCCAATGTTTTCTGCATCGCATCCTTCACATCTAACTCGGTAGGATCGCGAAGAGCAAGAGTAGTTTGTATTTGGCTATAAAGTTGCTTGAACAATCTTGTGGCATTTCTTTGCTCTTCTGCAAGCTGTGAAGGCTGGATTTTGTTCATGATAAGTAACATTCCTGTGGCTGCAGAAAACAAAAGAGTTGACGATAACTTCAAAGCCAAAAGAGGTGCTCCAACTGCACCACCTGCTGCTACACCAGCCATGGTTGCAGCTGCGAGAGTGATCATGTTAATTGAGTTCAAAAGAAGAGTGTTCCAATTGTCACGCTGCTCGCCGATGTTTTTGTGCATCTCTACTCTATCAGCAACAGCTTCTAAGATTGCATAAAGCTTAGCTGTTGCAGTATTACTTGTAGAAATGACTGGCTCATATTGATCTACTCTTGTGTTTTCTAATGGGATTGTACTCAAGAACCCATCTTTTAAATTCAGTTCCTCGACTAATTTAAATGGAGTTTTTGGAACCGAGAGACGAACTCTTGGAAGTTTAGGGACGGAAATGGCAGCATTGGTTCTTGTTGAACAACTACAAGAAGAAGAAGAGAATAGAAAGCTTGAAGCTTGAAATGAGGCCATATTGTAATCTGGGATTTCTTTGATTTCTTTTGGTTTTTGATTTTTCCTTGATGCGTTTGTATGTAGGAGGAGAAGTTGATCATGCAAATGGAAGGAGGCAATGGAAGCTATTTATAGCAAAGAAGAAAACGGACAAGAAAAGGTCGTATGTGTTGAATTGACTATGTGATAGAGTTGACAAAGCACAACGTTGGCTGCTGAATGGACCTGTTCCTCAGCCTATCCTCTTTGGTCTCAAGCATGACATCGTAGAACTTGCTCTACTAATTATATCCTTTCTCGGTTTCCTTTGGCATCACTATAGGAAATCACAGCGTCATGATTTTTTGAATACCTTACAGATAAATATCAAACACACAAATACTAATTTTATGGAGGGATATGTAAATTATTTCTTCCAATTTTTAATTTTAAATTGAATAACTTTCTAAGTATTTTTTTTAAATTTAAAATTAGATATTTTTAGTAAGTTTTTATCAATTCTGAAAGCATATCGTGTTTTAGAAAGTTTTTAAGATTTAAATAATTTTTTTCAAAATATCATCATCGAGTGATTTTAATTTTTCTAAACTATAAAGAAAACCAAAATTATCTTCATGTATTTTAAATTGTTCAAACTTATTTTGAAGAGAGGAAATCGTATGATCAAATAAATATCTAAAATAATTAATTCTAAAAGATTCTTCAATAGATAATTTCATATCTTTATTTTCAATCTCATAAAATTATTTTTTTTCTTCTTATTGTACACTTTTCACGAAATTTTGATTTTATATTCATTTGCTTTGCAATTTCTTGAGCCAAGATCATAGAAGATGTAAGCTAATTTTCTCTATAGCTTTTAAAAAAAGAAATAAGACCTTTCAAGTGATCTATTGTAAGAGCAATATCCATATCTTTAGATTATAAATATTTACTAATCATATTAACAAGCAAATTACATATCATACCAAATAATCATGTCTAATAGAAATTAAAAATTTTGAACCTCATATGTTGCTAAAGAAATAGCTTCACTTTTTGTTTTAGGATCCTCACTAGTTTCGTTAATTGATATAAAGCATATCTTATTTGTTAAGCTTGAAATCTAATTGTTTTAACACTTTAATACGACTTTCCTAATGTATTTGTGATAATGGCTTAAGTGTCAAATTAGAAACATGATTTTGTAAAATTTTTCATCTTTTTGTAGAAGAAGAAAATAATGAATATATGTGTTGTGTCACTCCAAAAATGTCACAAGCACTAGCACATGAATTAGCCATATCACAAAGAACTAAATTAAGATTGTGATAGCCGCATGGTGTATAAAATACTCTAGAATTTATATCTAATAATCTTTTTTGTACACCTTGATGTTTACTTTTCACATTAGACTCATTATCATATCCTTGCCCTCTCAAATCATTTACATCAAGTTCAAGAGTTTTTATCTTACTTGTAAGTTCATTAAAAAGCCCTTCACCAGAGGTATCATCCACTTTTAAAAAATCTATAAAATACACTTTTATTTTTATTGGAATTATCGAAATATCTACACATCTTAATATAAGAGACATTTATTCTTAATGACTTGCATCCGGAGTACAATCAAGTATAATTGAAAAATATTTTGATTCTTTGATTTTTCCGATAATGGTATTTCTCATTTCTAATGCTAAAATATTTATCAACTCATTTTGTATATTATGACCAAGATAATGCATATGAATATCTCCATTTTAAATACGTCTAAAGTGTTCTTACATTATTGGATCAAACTCAACAATCATTTTAATTAAACTCAAAAAGTTTTCATTATTGTCTTGATAAATCTTCTCATTTGTACCACGAAATGCCAAATTATTTTTTGAAAAAGCTTTTACAACAACAATAATTGTTAATAATACGTTCCTCTAATGCTTTTTCTCTTTATTTATTTTCTCTTATAAATGCTTATCAATTGTTTTGTTTTTAAGCAATCTCATCTAAGCATCAACCCAAATGTTCATATTAATAGCATGTTCATTACTTGTCTCATGATTTTTAAGTTTGGCACTAAGATTTTTTCAATCTCCACACCCTTCATTTGCTAATTGAATATTTAATTTTAAACTAATTTACAACAATAACAAACACTTTATCTAACGCTTTTGAATATACTAGCCATTTTCTATCATGTTTTTCTCTCGTTTAGTAATTTTTGAATGTAATGAACTATAAAAAAATGTCTAGAATTTTTATCTCTAGAAAAATCTAAAATTTCTCTAATTGGATATTTTTCAACTAATAAATCAATCAGTTTTAAGTCTAAATTTTTTCATTGTCCCGGATCGTAAATATTTTTAATTGTTGTTGCATCTTCATCATTAATATTTTCACTTTTATTGATTGAAACATCATCTTCTAAATTTTCATCATATTCTTCATTACTTTTTGGTGAATTTGAATTGTTATCTTTAAATGTTTCTTCACAATTTTTAACTATATTTTCATTTAAATCTTTATCTTGTTCTTCTAGTATTGGGGGTTTAATATTAGTAACAAATCTATCAAGTGCACCTTTTTAGGATTGAATTAGTTCTTCTACTTTTCTTTTTTCCTTACATTTTTTATATCAAGATTCATACTTTCTAGTAGACATTTTATTCAAATAATAAAATTAAAATATAATTATAAAAAGAGTAAGAAACTTTGACACCTAATTATATTTGCTTGCCACACCTAATCAAGTAATCTTGGAGAGAATCACACGAAAAAGTAAAAAAAAAAAATTGAGAAAAAAATAAAGTATTATATGATTTATGTAGATAATTTTATTTGCATAAATTAAAAAATTACCTTCAAATTCTTCCGCCAAGCTAATTAGAAAAGGTTTTATAAGAGATCTCTTATTGTTTAGAGAAAGAAAGGAATATAATAACAAAATTTGAAGATCTAAAAATTGTTTCACTCACAAATATTTTTTTAAAACTTTTCTATAAGTAAAAGTATCTTACTAAAATAAAAATTGAAAGTTTTTATAAATAGAAGGTAACAGGAAAGACATATAGAAAATGAAGAATTTTTAACATTGAAATAATAATATCTTTGAATAATGGGAGCCTTTCAATGCAAGAACTCTAGTACCTATGACCTCGTTAATGGAGAGAAGAATGATGTCTCAAACTTAGGTTGTGGTTGTACCTTTTAATTTATCTCATTTTTCATCGATGTAGACTTAAGGTAAAATTTTAATTGGGGGCCTCCCTTTCTATAGGAGCTCGAGGCATAGGCCTTAATGGCCTATGCATTGGGCTAGATCTGGCTTGAAGCTTTAATAAAGGCCATATTGTATGATTGGGTTTCTTTTTCTTATTTTTTTTCTCTTGGTTTCTTTGATGTGTTTGTACTTACGAGAAGAAAAAGTTAAAGTGCTAAGTGAGGTCTCATGAATAATTTCTCTAACACACTCCTTAAAAGTAATGAGATAATAAGATTTGAATTAACAACCGTTTAATTATTAAAATTTTAAAAATTTAAATTATTAGTTGAGATTTTAGGAATTGTTTTATATTAGAAAGAAAGACCAAATGGAAGCTATTTATAGTAACTAAATAATAACTCAAAATAAAAAGGTCTCGTGTTGGAGTAAATTATAAATTAGTTCTTCTTAATTTTTTTTCCATATAGTCTCTTTAATTTTAAAAATTAATTAATTAGTTTTTATACTTTTAAATTTATTTTTAATTTTTTTTAAGAAATAAAAAATAACAATAAGTACAAAATATGAAAGGATTAATGAAAAATATATTTTTAAAAATAAAATAATATTAAATTAATCATAATCAATACGGATAAATATCTGAATAATTAGTTTTCAAAATAAAAAAGATATATATATATATATATATATATATATATATATATATTACAAAACTAGAAGGATTAATTTATAATTTACTTTAAGTGTTGAATTGAATTGAAAATATTGACAGCCTCACGAAGACTTGACAAAGGCACAAAATTTGGCCCATGGCTGCTGACCAGACCTATTCACCCCTTAATAACTTGTCCACTTCAACTTTAATAACCCTTGCCTGTCTAACCCTTAATTTCCACTGTTAGAAGTAATGTCACACGGCAGTCCATTTGATCTCACGACCACACTAGAAATTAACTGGGTTTAAGATATATATATATATATTGAATTAATTTGAACATCAACCAGAATTAAGTTTTTTTCTAGACAATTTTCAGGATAAATTTAATAATTTTTTTTAATATTAATCTTTGACAATGGTTTCATATAACTACAGCCACTTACTTGGAACAAATGTAAAATCTAAGAACCTTGATTCCCTTTACATTATAGATATCAATTGTCATATTGTATTTATCACAAAAAAGATTTTTTTTTTTTTTAATGTTTGTATAGTTAAAATTTTAAATAGTGTATTTTTAAAAATATCTTTAATTAATATTGATTTCATGTCACTTGGGATTAAATTTGATGATCAATAATTCGACTATATTTTTTTAGAGAATATGAACAAAAAATACTGATATAATATAAGAATAATAACTTTTTTAATTTATATAAAAGTTAAAAAAGACGACATGTTTGGAGCATAGAAAATATGAATTTTATTATTCTTGCAAAGGAAGAAAGAAGTGTTTTATACATATTATCTTATGGGGAAAAAATGATTATCATTTACAAAAGATTTTAGATAATGATCTCTACATGTTACATTGATGTACAAAAGGAATTTAGGGTGAAAATGATTAAAAGAATGTTAATTAGTTATGGACAGAGTAAGTCTAATGCTGTCAAAATAGCTTGCTAGCAAACTCATCCATGGTGTTTCCACTTATATGAGAAGAAGAGGATTTTCTCGCAAGATCTCTAAGCTGTGACAAGCTTCTTCCAAGCTTCATGGCCACCTTCATTTCAAACATTTCCCCATCTTCCCTTTTCTCCAAATCGCTTCCTTGAATTGTAGATTCTATTGATTCCTCCAAAAGTGTAAAGAATCCAGCACTGTTTCTGTACATTTCAACCACCATGCCAACTTGGCCACCATGCTCGAATGCATTGACTGAGCTAGCTAATGCACCAGCTGTGACAGCCACTATTGCAGCCCAAGATCCATGGCCTACAAAGGCAGAACTAGCAGCTGCAATGCCAGTGAGTAATGGACCTGAGATTGCTAAAACCTTGTTCACCTTCAATGCCAAGTTGCCTAGTCTTATGTAATCTTCACTGTCTTTTCTCTTTATCACTTCAATCACCTTTCTCATTTCCTCTTCAAGATCCTCACTCCACCCATTCTTTCCTTGTGTTTTGTGCTGCTTTCTTGGGGATTCACGTGATTTAGGCCACCAAACAGCAGGCTCGAAATTTTCAGGAAACTTTTCAATCATTTTCCCTAACAAAGGAAGAGGGTAAGCTTTGTCAAGAGCCAATGTTTTCTCCATCGCATCCTTCACATCTAACTCGGTAGGATCGCGAAGAGCGAGAGTAGTTTGTATTTGGCTATAAAGCTGCTTGAACAATCTTGTGGCATTTCTTTGCTCTTCTGCAAGCTGTGAAGGCTGGATTTTGTTCATGATAAGTAACATTCCTGTGGCTGCAGAAAACAAAAGAGTTGACGATAACTTCAAAGCCAAAAGAGGTGCTCCAACTGCACCACCTGCTGCTACACCAGCCATGGTTGCAGCTGCGAGAGTGATCATGTTAATTGAGTTCAAAAGAAGAGTGTTCCAATTGTCACGTTGCTCGCCGATGTTTTTGTGCATCTCTACTCTATCAGAAACAGCTTCTAAGATTGCATAAAGCTTAGCTGTTGCAGTATTACTTGTAGAAATGACTGGCTCATATTGATCTACTCTTGTGTTTTCTAATGGGATTGTACTCAAGAACCCATCTTTTAAATTCAGTTCCTCGACTAATTTAAATGGAGTTTTTGGAACCGAGAGACGAACTCTTGGAAGTTTGGGGACAGAAATGGCAGCATTGGTTCTTGTTGAACAACTACAAGAAGAAGAAGAAAATAGAAAGCTTGAAGCTTGAAATGAGGCCATATCGTAATCTGGGATTTCTTTGATTTGTTTTGGGTTTTTGATTTTTCCTTGATGTGTTTGTATGTAGAAGGAAAGGCTGATCATGCAAATGGAAGGAGGCAATGGAAGCTATTTATAGCAAAGAAGAAAACGGACAAGAAAAGGTCGTATGTGTTGAATTGACTATGTGATAGAGTTGACAAAGCACAGCGTTGGCTGCTGAATGGACCTGTTCCTCAGCCGATCCTCTTTGGTCTCAAGCATGACATCGTAAAACTTGCTCTACTCATATTAGATCCTTTCTCTGTTCCCTGTGGCATCACTATTGGAAATCACAACGTCGTGATTTTTTTGAATACCTTACAGATAAATACCAAACACACAAATACTAATTTTATTGAAGGATATGTAAATTATTTCTTTCAATTTTTAATTTTAAATTGAATTTCTTTGTAACTATTTTTTTAATTTAAAATTAGATATTTTTAGTAAGTTTCTATCAATTCTAACGATAGAAGTATATATAAATTACATGTATGTAGTAGACCTTTAATTTTTCTATCGGCTAAAAATATGCTAGAACTTATTGATGTTTTTTTCCTTCTAAAATTTGTTTCTTTCCTTCTAAAATGTTTTTATTAATTAATTATTTTTAGCATTTAAGAGGAAAGAAATAAATTTTGAAGGAAAACTTATCTATAAGCTTTGATATATTTTTAATTGCTGAAAAATTGTACTTACGTGTTAAAGTTAATTAAAAACTAATATAATGATTAATTTTAAATGAAAAATAATTGAAGAAAGATTAAATATGAAATTAAAAATTAAAGAATCAATTTTAAAATGATCTAAAGTTTAGGAGAGATTTATATTGAATATAAACCAGCATTACAATTCAATTTTTAACTTAGTAGCAAACTGAGCTATCACATGCAGCTTATATAATTTGTACCCATAAGGCACATACATAGGTTGCCAAAGAAAATCTACAATAGTCAGTTCATAATTTTAAATTATGCATAGTTCACAATCATTATTACGAATTGTATATTATTATAATATTAGAATAACAATAATAGAATGTTTCGAAATCATTATATAACAACCGTTATATAATGTAATTGTGGTTATTAAAAACTATGATACTCACTACAAATCCACACTGTATAAGCCCAGATAGCAACACAGCTTCATTAACTTGTTGCTGAATGAAGGGTTTAATTCATTGGCATTACTTCCATGACCTGTCACAATTTTGTGGGATATTGTTGGCCACCAAGGATGTGCAATAGGGAAGGCTATTTCTTCAGAACTATATATCGAGGGCATCTTTATACGGAAGCTGACCATTAACTTCCTGATTCTTGGCTTGGAATGTAGCACGAGAAGTAGTAGTCATGGAAGCCCAACAACACTATATCCTTATTAACAAAACGAGGAAAGGACAGATCGAGTACTACCTAATGTGAGTATGCAGCTAATGATTATAATGCCACCACACTTGTTAAAGACATTTGTCTCTCAAGCAGACAACATCGACTCATGGCATCTAGTAAATAGACTATTCTATCTCTTAGTTCATTCAATTTGACAAAACCTTGGTTATATAAAACATACGAGAGCTTAAGGTTTCAAGTTTTGAATCTCACTCACAATTATCATTCATCATCTTTTAAATATCTATCTTATTACATACAAGATTATTGTTAGGGTCTAATTTTGTTATTTTTAGAAATATTGTTGTTTAGTTTGTCGTCTTATTTGTACTGTCAACAGTTTTATAGTCACTTTCTTATTGATTCTTTTCTCTTTTATATATTGATAGATTTTTATCAAAAAAAAAAAAAAAAACCTATTAGAAAGCCCTCCTATCATGAGAGACTTGTTTTGTAGGTATCGCAACTAACTGACTCACGATCCATTGTCAAGTCCCCATCTTCTAGAAAGATTTCTACACTGTGACAAGATTCTTCCAAGCTTCATGGCCACCTTCATTTCAAACATTTCCGATCTTCGCTTTTCTCCAAGGAGCTTTCTTGAATTGTAGATTCTATTGTTCCTCCAAAAGTGTGAAGAATCCAGCACAGTTTCTGTACATTTCAACCACCATTCCAACTTGCCACCATGCCCAAATGCGTTGACTGAGCTAGCTAATGCACCTGCTGTCACATGGCCTACAAAGGCAGACCCAGCAGCTTGCAATGCCAGTAAGTAATGGGCCTGAGATGGCTAAAATCTTGTTCAGCTTCAATGCAAGGTTGCCTAGTCTCATGTAATCTTCGCTGTCTTTTCTCTTCATCACTTCAATCACCTCCCTCATTTCCTCTTCAAGATCTTAACTCCACCCATTCTTTCCTTGTGTTTTGTGTTGCTTTCTTGGAGATTCAATGTGATTTAGGCCACCACACCGCAGGCTCAAATTTTGAAGGGAACTTTTCAATCATGCTTCCTAACAAAGAAAGAGGACAAGCTTTATCAAGAGCTAATGTTCTCTCCATTGCATCCTTCACATCTAACTTGGTAGGATCGCGAAGAGCAAGAGTAGTTTGTATTTGGCTATACAGTTGTTTGAACAATCTTGTGGCATTTCTTTGCTCTTTTACAAGCTGTGAAGGTTGGACATTGTTCATGATAAGTAGCATTCCTGTAGCTGCAGAAAACAAAAGAGTTGATGATAACTTCAAAGCCAAATTAAAAGAGGTGCTCCTACTGCACCACCTGCTGCGACTTCTGCCATGCTGCAGCTGTGAGAGTGATCATGTTAATTGTATTCAAAAGAAGAGTGTTCCAATTGTCGCGTTGCTCTCCAATGTTTCTGTGCATCTCTACCCTATCTGCAACAGCCTCTAAGATTGCATAACGCTTCATTGTTGCTATGGTAGCGGTAGAATCAATTGCTTCATATTGATGATCTGGTTTTGTGTTTTGTGATGGGATTATACTTGTGAGCCCATCTTTTAAATTCAATTCCTCAGCTAATTTTTGTGGAGTGTTTAGAACTGAAAAATGAATTCTTGGACGTTTAGGGACTGAAATGGCTGCATGGATTCTTGTGGAACAACTCCAAGAAGAAGAAGAAAATACAAAGCTTGAAGCTTTAATAAAGGACATATTGTATGATTGGGATTCTTTCTCGTTTTTTTTTTCTTGGTTTCTTTGATGTGTTTGTACTTACGAGAAGAAAAAGTTAAAGTGCTAAGGGAGGTTTCATAAAAGATTTCTTTAACACACCTCGCAATGAGATTGTAAAATTTAAATTTGTTAATGTTTAATCATTAAAATTCTAATATCAAATCAAAAAATTATATTAATCTAAAATTTTAAACAATTAGGTGAGGTTTTATAAATTATTTTATATTACTTTATAAAAAAAGAAAGACCAAATTGAATCTACTTATAGTAACTAAATAATAAGTCAAAATAAAAAGGTCTGTGTTGGAGTAAATTATACATTAGTTCTTCTTAATTTTTTTTTCAAATAGTCTCTTTAATTTTAATAATTAATTAATTAGCTTTTATTTTTTAAATTTATTTTTAACTTTATTTTTTTTATTTTTAAGAAATAAAAAAAATAACAATAAGTACAAAATATGAAAGGATTAATGAAAAATATATTTTTAAAAATAAAATAATATTAAATTAATCATAATCAATAAAGATAAATATCTGATTAATTAGTTTTAAAATAAGAAAGATTATTTAAAACTTTTTTTATTCTCAAAACTAGAAGGATTAATTTATAATTTACTTTAAGTGTCGAATTGAATTGAAAATATTGACAGCGTGAGGAAGACTTGACAAAGGCACAACATTGGCCCATGCCTGCTGACCAGACCTATTCACCCCTTAATAACTTGTCCACTTCAACTTTCTTTACCTTTGCCTGTCTAACCCTTAATTTCCACTGTTAGAAGTAATCTCATACGGCGGTCCATTTGATCTCATGACCACACTAGAAATTAATTGGGTTTAAGATAAATATATATTGAATTAATTTGAACATCAACCAGAATTAAGTTTTTTTCTAGACGATTTTCAGGATAAATTTAACATTTTTTTAACATTAATCTTAAAATTTAAACTCAAATAATTAAGAAAGAAAACAAATCTTTTTGATCACCGTATCAATAAGTTGAAATTCACCAAGTGTGGTCTAGAAACGCAGCCTGCAATATGGTCTCAAAAAATAATTATTTATAACCATTTGTTGTAAAATTTTAATCTAATATAAAATTAAAGGGGAAAGATTAGTATAGAATATGCTATATTAACCATTGAAAAATCAAAAGGGTCGATAAACCTAGGACAGAAAGAGTAATAAAGAAATAAACAACAATACTCTACAAACAAATAAAACAAAAAATTTAGGATCAACTATATTAATTTACTTTTATGTTCATGCATGGAATCTTAAAGTCCCAACAAGATTAGTGTATTTCAAGATTAGATTCATCCAAATTATAGTTTCCAAGTGGTTGATGTTGCCCTTTGTTTTCTTGCCCCCTAGTCTTCAAATTGCCAACAATTTTAATTAATTGAAAACAATGCTTCCTCTAAAAATGATTTTCATGGATTGTTCTTGAAATTAGGTAGAACATGTTAACAATGCTTCAACAATCTTTTCACATATTTCAATAATCTTTTTATCTGCATTTCAAAATTAATCGGAGATCTGAATCTTATTGTCGATATATGTGCAAAAAAATATTCAGATTAATTTTTTTTCAACATCACTAGAATTATTTACACATTTCAAATCTTGGATCATCTTTCTCTTGGAGCCTAAATATTCTCTCATTAAGCCTCGTCTACTTCAAAAGTCCTTCCTTACTTAGCTCCTTGGCTCTCAGGTGATAAGACATCATTGCTAGTTTTTCTTAACTTTGACCTTATAAATTATCTCATATCAACTCTTGTACTCTTAATTTCCACATGTAGAAGTCAGCTCATACGGCAGTCCATTTGATCTGAGGATTAAACTGTATAAAGGATTTAAATTTTTTGAAAATCTTAATATTCGTCAGTACATATATATCATTAACTTGATAATTGGCAAAAGAAAACAAACAAAATGACATGGTAAGGCATTGACAATTTATGCAACAATGTTTAATAATGTAAACAGTAAAAATCTTGGACTTGCATATATACAAGTTTCTGAGATTAGAGGGCTAAGAAAAGCCACTTTGTACAAAGGAATTGTTCTTGAAAACAAATGAATGAATGTGAATTTGTTGGGAACAAAAACATCTACTTTCAAAATAACTTGCTAGCAAACTCATCTATGTTGCTTCCATCCACGTGAGAAGTAGAGGATTTTCTAGCAAGATCTCTAAGCTGTGATAAGCTTCTTCCAAGCTTCATGGCCACCTTCATTTCAAACATTTCCCCATCTTCTCCTTTCTCCAAATTCCTTTCTTGAATTGTAGACTCCATTGATTCTTCCAAAAGTGTAAAGAATCCAGCACTGTTTCTGTACATTTCAACCACCATACCAACTTGGGCACCGTGCTCAAATGAATTTACTATGCAAGCTAATGCACCTGCTGTCACTGCCGCTATTGCCGGCCATGATCCATGGCCTACAAAGGCAGACCCGGCAGCGGCAATTCCAGTGAGTAATGGACCTGAGACGGCTAAAATCTTGTTCAACTTCAATGCCAAGTTCCCTAGTCTCATGTAATCTTCACTGTCTTTTCTCTTTATTACTTCAATCACCTCCCTCATCTCCTCTTCAAGATCCTCACTCCACCCATTCTTTCCTTGTGTTTTCACCTGTTTAGGCTGTTCTCTACTTTGGGACTCATTTGATTTAGGCCACCAAACAGCAGGCTCAAATTTTTCAGGGAACTTTTCGATCATTTTTCCTAACAAGGGAAGAGGGTAAGCTTTATCAAGAGCCAAAACTCTGTCCATAGCATCCTTCACATCTATCTCAGTAGGATCACGAAGAGCAAGAGTAGCTTGTATTTGGCTATAAAGTTGCTTGAACAATCTTGTGGCATTTCTTTGCTCTTCTGCAAGCTGCGAAGGCTGGATTTTGTTCATGATAAGTAACATTCCGGTAGCTGCAGAAAATAAAAGAGTTGATGATAACTTCAAAGCCAAAAGAGGTGCTCCTACTGCACCACCTGCTGCAACACCAGCCATAGTTGCAGCTGTGAGAGCGATCATGTTAATTGAATTCAAAAGAAGAGTGTTCCAATTGTCGCGTTGCTCGCCAATGTTTCTGTGCATCTCTACCCTATCTGCAACAGCCTCTAAGATTGCATAAACCTTGGCTGTTGCTGTAGTAGCAGTTGTAGAATTGATTGGCTCATATTGATCTACTCTTGTGTTTTCTAATGGGATTGTACTTGGGAAACCATCCCTTAAATTCAGTTCCTCAGCTAGTTTTAATGGATTTTTTGGAACTGATAAGTGATTTTTTTGAAGTTTAGGGACAGAAATGGCAGCGTTGATTCTTTTCGCACATCTATAAGAAGAACAAGAGACTAGAACGCATGAAGCTTGTAATGAGGCCATATTGTAATCTGGGGTTTCTTTGATCTTTTTGTGCTTTGGTTTCTTTGATGTGTTTGTAAGTAGGATAACAAGTTGGTAATGAAAATGGAGGGAGGCAATGGAAGGTATTTATAGTAACGAACATAACTGAAAAAAGAAAAGGTCGTATCTGTTGAATTGACTGCATGCATGATAGAGTTGACAAGGAAGAACACAGCATTGGCTATTGGCTGCTGACCGGACCCGTTCACCCCTTGAAAATCTATATGCTTCAAAATTTATACTTCATTCTATAGCTTTCTTACGTGGGAGATTGTAAAACTTGCTCAGCCTACAATACTATCAAATTAATTGATCAATTCTGCTGTCATAATATATGATTTCTCAGTTTCATGTGGCCTCATTGCTCATGCAAAATTTTCTTAATCTGGACTATATTAATTAACTTTTGCTTCAAACTTTTATTGCCCCTTCCACAAGTAGTGGAGATGATGTCATGAGATTGATAAATAAATAAATAAACAAACTAGAGAAAACTGGAATATGTTGGAATTGGTTGAACTGTGCAATATGCAACGAAGTATGCCTTTTCTTTATTCTCATAGATGACGTATAATTACTTGGAATTAAGACAACCAAAAACCAAAAAAAAAAAAAAACTAGTGGTGTTAGGTTATTTTTCAGGTATGTGATGCTCAACTGAATAAGTAGCATATGTGCAACTGTGATTAGATATTAACTAAATAATCATTTGTGCTATGCTATGGTCCGCATAATATATAAAATTATTTAAAAAAACAATATTTATGATTTGATGGCCTATATCATGTTATAAATCTACTAAAATATATTGAAATCAAAACAAAAAAATATTCACCTAACTTTATAATTTTTTAATAAAAAATTTTGTATTTAATTAATTCTTTCTTACGTTTTTTAAATGATTTCCTTCTTAAAAAACACTTTTTTTCATACATAAATTCTTAAATAAAAATTTATAATAATCTAAAAACAAAAATTTATCGAAAATCCTAAAAAGATATATAAATTTAATTATTTATTTTATAAGATTGTATCGAGAAAATAAAGAAACAAATAATTTTTTAAAAAATTGCATAAAAATTTTAAAAATTAATATATATACACTCAAAATAATAAATTAGAGTAAAAAATTTATATGAAAAATATGGTATGGTCGGATGTTGTTTGTAAAATATAACTTTTATTATTTTATTTAAGGAAAATTTTTTATTAATTTAAAATATCTTTTTTCTCATCAATATTTTCATTTTTTTATTTTTTATTTTTATTTTTATAACAAAAAATAAAAATAAATTAAAAAAATAATAAAAAAGACTAAAATATTAGTTTTTGAAATCAGAATTAATTTGTTTCACAAAGCTGAAGGGACTAATTTATAATTTACTCTTGAATAACAAGTGGCTAACGAAATTAGGGGGGTGTTTCAATGAAAGAGAGGAGCATTAAATGCTCTATCTGAAAAGCTAAGAAGATTTGGGGGGTGGGGGTTGGTTGGGGTTGGGGTTTCGATGAAAGAGAGGAGCATTAAATGCTCTATCTGAAAAGCTAAGAAGATGTGTATCAATATAAGATATATGAGATTTAATATTTTGAGGTGTTAGTTAGGTCGTAATTAGGTAGATATGTTATTTTATGTTCCCTGTTTGGAAATCAAATTCAGAAGATTGAAAGAATATATGTTTTTTTTAAGTAATAATTTAAATATGGATTATTTACATAATATTTGATATTGAAATGAGCGAAAGAACAAATAAAACTAGAAAAACACAAGTGAGTCTTATTATAGAGCTATCAATCTATTTAAAAGATATTAAAAAAAAAAAACAAACACAGCCAATACAAAATATATAAGGATGTTGAAAGATAATGAGATTTTTATAAATTTTATTGTTTAAAATCCGCACAATTTGATGAATTTTGTATCTCCACTATTATTATTAGCACATAATAACGCATAATATAATATAACTACTGACTTCATAAAAATAAGTTTAGATAATTTACCTCATGTTTTTTATTCGATTAAATATATGATTTTTTGTTTTAGCTCTTATTAAAATCTTTATTAATAGTATGTTTTTAACTCGTGATTTTATTTATTTATTTATTTTAATTTCTTAAAAGCTAATTAGGTATTATATAATTAAAAAATAGCACCAATGAATCTACCAAACCATAAACTACAACTCAAAGCTCCATATTTTTTAGCCTCTATATGAACTAACTTCGTCATATGCTTGATGTTCATGTATGTTATCATTATAATTTCCTCCAATATTTTACTCTTTTTTTTAATCAAAATAAGAGTTAATCTTAATGCTTACCTTCATCGTTTTTTTTTTTTTTAATATATTGTTGAGTCACACAAAAGCTATTCATATACTATAAGTCACACAAAAGCTATTCATATACTGTCATACTTTATCCATGGGGCAGCAAATCATGGGACTCTTGTGGCATTCTTGAGAGTATCGATATTCTTGATACCTTTCAATTATAAATGACTAGCATTGTCGGATTGATGATCCGTATCCTCAATTCTATAATTGATAATGTATAGGTTAGATTACTTCTAACTTGCTTTCCTCATGTTTATGGATGTCCATGTTTTGGAAGCGGGCTATTTTTTACACACACACATATATATATATATATATAGCCATCGTCTATCTTTAATTTACATTTCTAGTACTTATTCATCAGATTGGTTGAGAGTAGGGCCTTATACTTATTAGGTATCTGATCTTATCCAAATTTTTTCAATTTAAAAAAAAAATGAATTTCTTTAAATTTTATGTAACACTTCAGGAAGTTACATCTTAATAAATTAGAGTAAATAATTTTATATACCTAATAATTTTAAGTTATGTGTTAATACTAATTGTAATTTAAGAATATAAAGTTATATCATTAAATATCACTATTTGTGCACCAATGAGTAGAAATAATTAATATAATTATATACATGATCATTTATTTTGAATAATTAATGCATATAGCATTGAATTGTGTGGTTATTGTTTGTTAGCAAAAAAAATCATTATGTACATTGCCTGGGGCTCGACGAAAAGATACTTAAAATAATATTAAGAGACATTAACTTTGTAAATTTACATATTCTTAATTAAAATTAGAACGCAAAGAGTAATAAAGAAGGAAACAACTACATTCAAGAAACAAAAGAATGCAAAAATTTTAAGAACAACCGTATTAGTTTTATTCTTAAGTTCATGCATGGAATCCTCATATACAAGTAAGATTGCTAGATTAGAGTGTGCATAAAAGACTACTGATCTTATCATGTTGACGTTTTTTTGCCCTTCGTACTTGACTTTTTTTTTTTCTGTAGAAATTTTTAGAAACAAGCTTTCTCCAAAAGTGACATTCTTAATTGGATTAGTATAGTACTTAAACTTGGGTATAGAGCATCTTAACAAGGCTTCACCAATCCTTAATTTCACATATTTTAATAGCCTTTTCATCTGCATTTAAAAATTAATTGGAGATATGAATTATATATATATATATATATATATTCATCTCCATTCTAGGAGAGATTAAGATTCAATGAAGTGGTAAATATATTCAGAGAACTTTGAAAATCAATATTGCATTGCCATTAGCTTTTCAAGTCAATATATTACATTATAAAATCCGACTCGGCTATTGCTATTGTTTAATTGTAAAAATCTTCAACTGATAGATCTTAAAAGTTTCAGAATAATTTCAATATTATCTCTATTATGATTTTATATTTAAAATTAGTATTTTTTTTCACTCATATATTTAGGAAAAGAAACTCTGTCGCTGACTCAGGTTAAATCTAGTCTCCATAAGTTAAATGAATTCTTAACTTATATATATATATATATATACTAACTCCGTGTTGACTTGATTAGGCCTCGTCTATTTCAGAATTCTTACCTTTACATCCTAATTGGGTCTCAGGTGAGAAATCATTGGTCTTGAAATTTTATTTTAATTTTCTCGCCTTTGACCTTACAAGTTATTTTAATTACTTCAACTATTAATTTCCAAATTAGAAGTCATCTCATATGGCAGTCCATTTGATATTAGTACTGTAGAAAGGGCTATCAATTTTTGGAAATAGTAATACTCGTCTCAGTAACTTGATAATTGGGTTTAAGAGAAAAAATAAATAAATAAACAAAAGGTTATATACAAGTACTCAATGCCTGAGTTGACAATTTAAGCAACAATTAATATTTTATAATGTAATAGTAAAAATCTTGGACCTGCATATATACAAGTTTTTGAGAATAGAGGGCTAAGAAAAGCCACTTTGTACAAAGGAATTGGTATTGAAAACAAATGAAAGAATCTGAATTAGTTATGAACAAAACATCTTCTTTCAAAATAGCTTGCTAGCAAACTCATCTATGGTGCTTCCATCCACATGAGAAGTAGAGGATTTTCTTGCAAGATCTCTAAGCTGTGACAAGCTTCTTCCAAGCTTCATGGCCACCTTCATTTCAAACATTTCCCCATCTTCTCTTTTCTCCAAATCCCTTTCTTGAATTGTAGAGTTCATTGATTCGTCCAAAAGTGTAAAGAATCCAGCATTGTTTCTGTACATTTCAACTACCATACCAACTTGGCCACCGTGTTCAAATGTATTGACTGTGCTAGCTAATGCACCAGCTGTGACAGCCACTATTGCTGCCCATGATCCATGGCCTACAAGGGCAGAACCAGCAGCTGCAATGCCAGTAAGTAATGGACCAGAGATGGCTAAAATCTTGTTTACCCTCAATGCCAAGTTGCCTAGTCCCATGTAATCTTCGTTGTCTTTTCTCTTTATTACTTCAATCACCTCCCTCATCTCCTCTTCAAGATCCTCACTCCACCCATTCTTTCCTCTTGTTTTCACCTGTTTAGGCTGTTCTCTATTTAGGGACTCGTTTGATTTAGGCCACCAAACAGCAGGCTCAAATTTTGAAGGGAACTTTTCGATCATTTTTCCTAACAAAGGAAGAGGGTAAGCTTTATCGAGAGCCAAAACTCTGCCCATTGCATCCTTTACATCCATATCAGTAGGATCACGAAGAGCAAGAGTAGTTTGTATTTGGCTATAAAGTTGCTTGAACAATCTCGTTGCATTTCTTTGCTCTTCTGCAAGCTGTGAGGGCTGGATTTTGTTCATGATAAGTAACATTCCGGTAGCCGCAGAAAACAAAAGAGTTGATGATAACTTCAAAGCCAAAAGAGGTGCTCCTACTGCACCACCCGCTGCAACACCTGCCATGGTTGCAGCTGTGAGAGTGATCATGTTAATTGAATTCAAAAGAAGAGTGTTCCAATTGTCGCGTTGCTCGCCGATGTTTCTGTGCATCTCTATCCTATCAGCAACAGCCTCTAAGATTGCATAAACCTTGGCTGCTGCTGTAGTATTAGCTGTAGAATTGATTGGCTCATATTGATTTACTCTTGTGTTTTCCAATGGGATTGTACTTGTGAACCCATCTCTTAAATTCAGTTCCTCAGCTAGTTTTAATGGATTTTTTGGAACTGATGACTGAATTTTTTGAAGTTTAGGGACAGAAATGGCAGCGTTGATTCTTTTCGAACAACTATAAGAAGAACAAGAGACTAGAAAGCATGAAGCTTGTAATGAGGCCATATTGTAATCTGGGGTTTCTTTGATCTTTTTGGGCTTTGGTTTCTTTGATGTGTTTGTAAGCAGGATGACAAGATGGTAATGAAAATGGAGGGAGGCAATGGAAGGTATTTATAGTAACGGACATAACTGAAAAAGAAAAGGTCATATCTGTTGAATTGACTGCATGCATGATCGAGTTGACAAGGCAGAACACGTCATTGGCTATTGGCTGCAGACCCGACCCATTCAAAATTTATAGCTTTCTTACGTGAGAAATAGTAAAACTTGCTCAGCCTACAATACTATCAAATTAATCGATCAATTCTGCTCTCATAAATATGTTTTCTCAGTTTCTTGTGGCATCATTGCTTATGCAAAATTTTCTTAATTTGGACTACATTAATTAACTTTTGCTTAAAGCTTTTATTGCCCCTTCCACAAGTAGTGGGGATGAAGTCATGAGATAAAAAAACCTAGAGAAAACTGGAATATTTTGGAATTAGTTCACCTTGGCAATACCCATCATAAGATATGTCTTTTCTTTATTCTTATGGATGATATTACTGACTTGTTTATTAATTGAGATTTAAACAAAAAAAAACAAAAAAAAGTTAATTAAATAAGAAAAGTGGTTGTGTTAGAGTTACTTTTGAGGTAAGTGATGATGATTGAATGAATATATAGTATATTCACAACTGAGGTAATGCTTACTTAATTGTGTATGAATATGACATGCATGCATGAGATTTAATATTTATTTATTTCAAGTTTTGAGGTGTTTCTATCAGCTATTTAGGAGTGAAATCCAAAAGAAAATGGAGAGGGTTATTATTTTATCTTTTTTTATCTTTTTCTTTTTTTTGCAATAATTTAAATAGGGATGATTTGCATAATATTTGATCGCATAAGAATATTCTATGTTATTTGGGTCTAGTTTTCTTGGTGTTATTGTGGGTGATTAATAGTTATCGTTTTCGTATTCGATGGCTAATAAAGTATCATCCTTAATTTGGTTGGGTTCTAAAAGTGAAGATTTATGTCGTTTTGTTGTCTCCCTAGCAGTGACCTTTGTCTCTTTGATACCGAGCTTGCTTAATTTCTACTTTCTTGTTTTGCCTGCACTACGATGTGGCACTATTTGCAAATATTATTGGCTTTTGTTCATTAATACTATTATTATTTGATGAGTCCTAAAAACTCGTCCAGCAATTAAGAGCTATGTGGTTTATTATGGTTGGAAATATAGGATGTGAGATTGATTGTTTGTTGTGTTTTTTCTTTTTTCTTTACATGATGTACACGTAAAAGAAATCCTTCTGGCCGGTGGGATGAGAGTTAGAAATTGGAGAAAGGTAGATAGAGCTTGATTGGACTTTTTAAAGAATATTTGTGCGTTAGAGATTAGAGAGTAGGGTTGGGAATCTCAAAGCAACAATCGTTAGGGTTTTATATAGATGAAGTTTTGTCGAGTTGCATTATGGAGAATATAGAACCATATGTTCTCTAGTTGTTGATAGTTTTTTACCTTAATTTCTCAAATTGAGAAATTTTATAATACATCGGGAATAACTAATGATATATACGGTAGTTATTATATAAATCCACTTTGAGAAAAGAGATAAACATACAAAAAAGAGAAAGAAAGGGAGAAATAGGAGAGAGAAAATAAAAAAATTTGAGCGGACGTAGAAATCTTCTTATCACTTTTGAATACACAAGGAGTAACTAGTGGCATGTACGGTAGTTACTCCTTGAGCCCACTTTAAGGAAAGAGATAGACACACAAAGAGAGAGAAAAAAATAGGAGAGAGAAAATAAAAAAAATTTGAGCGAGACGTGGAAATCTTCTTATTACTTTTGATGGGTATAGATGTAATTTTTTTCTTTTTTATGTGTCTATCTCTCTCCTCAAAGTGGACGCAGTAAGTAACTATTATACATGCCACTGAGTTACTCCTTGTGTATTATAAAATTTTCCCTTTTGATGAGTATAGATGTAATTTTTATTTTTTTATGTGTCTATCTCTTTTCTCAAAATAAATTAATAAAATAATTATTGTATATATCATTGATTACTCTTAATGTCCTATAAATTTTTTCAATTTGAGTTATTTATATTTTTTATGTGATTTATTTTTTGACGGCGCTAAAATTGTTATAACTGGTGTAGAAAGTTTTGGAAGGAAGTCTCCCTTAAATGCTTGTCTTTTTTATCGCAATGGTTGGTGGAGTTCTTCTTTATCCGAGACGGATGTCCTGGGCCATGGGCGTCTTGGTGTTTTCTTGAGGTATTAGTCAATCTTTCAAGGAAATGCGAATCTCATTCCTGAATACAATGTGTCAAGAATGTTTATATTAACACGTCATTCGGATCCATGGATAGGATTGATCCATGTCATCTAGGTTCATCAGTACTACTAATAATATTTTTCAGCTTATCAAATAATAATAATAATAATAACAATAATTTCTTTTTTTCCTTCTTATCAACTATTTCCATTCCATTTTTATTGGGTTTGATCATCATTTTCAAAAAGTTAACTAAAATTACTAGATCAATTTTTTTTTTAATTTAGTTTATTGATTTACAAATTTCAAAACTTCAGTTTAAAAATGAAGGTTTATATTTCTTATAACTGTTTTGGTAAAATAATGAATTCATATAAAGTTTAAAAAAAAAATAGTCAAAAATATGTTATATTGACATTTGAAGAGTTAAAAGGATCAATAAAACTTAAAGTAATAAAGAAGAAAATAACCATACTCTACAGACAAAAAATAAAAAATAAAAAATGCTAGATTAGAATATGCATAAAAGACTACTGATCTTATCCAAGATTTATCATACAAATTGCATTCGGAAACTAATAACAAAGTTAATGTCTCTTAATATTATTTTAAGTATCTCTTCATCAAGCACCAAGCAACGTACATGATGTTTTTTCTTAACGAACAATAACCACACAATTCAATGCTATATGCATTATTTGTCAACACAAAAGAGATATCGAATAAATCATGTATATAAGTGTACTATTTCTACTAGTTCGTATGAAAATAATGATGTTTAATGATATAATTTTATATTCTTAAATTACAATTAGTATTAACATGTCACACATAACTCGGTAATATAAAATTATTAGATATACGAAATTATTTATCCTAATTTATTAATTAGGATGTAGTTAATTTTGTGAGCTGTTACTTAAAATTTAAAAAAAAAAATTATTATTTTTTAATTGAAAATAATTAAATAAGGTCGGACACCTAATAAGTGAAAAGGCCTCCGCTCAACTAATCTGATGAATAACTAGAAATATAAATTAAACGTAGACGATGGATATATTGGATCAACTACGAGTTAAAAAAATAAAATAAAATAAAAGTTTCAGAATAATTTTAATGTCATCTTTAATATAATTTCGTATTTAAATCTTTTTTTTTCACTGGTATACTTCAAAAAAAAAAAAAAAACCCTATAACTGGGTCTAGTTAAATTTAGTCTGCATAAGTTTAATGATTTTTTAATTTGGTTATAATTGTTTTTACTGACTCATATATCTAGAAAAAGGAATATAAGTTTAATGATTTCTTAACTTTATCTGTTTTTTTATTAACTCCAGGCTAGCTTTATTAATATAATTCTCGATTAAAAAAGAAAATCTTCCTAATGAAGCATAAATATCTTCTCATTGGGCCTCGTCTATTTCAAATTTCCTACCTTTACCTCAGGTGAGACATCATTGGTCGTGCAATTTTTTTTTTTTTTCGTTGCATTTGACCTTACAAATTATCTTACTTCAACTCTTGTACCTTTAATTTCCACATTACAAGTCATCTCATATGGCAGTCCATTTGATCTTATGATAAAACTGTAGACAGGGCTATAGATTTTTGGAAATATTAATACTCGTCTCATTAACTTGATAATTGGGTTTAATAGAAAAAATAAATAAATAAATAAACAAAAGGATATATACGAGTACTCAATGCCTGCATTGGCAATTTAAGCAACAATTAATATTTTATAATGTAATAGTAAAAATCCTGGACTTGCATATTTACAAGTTTTTGAGATTAGAGGGCTAAGAAAAGCCACTTTGTACAAAGAAATAGGTCTTGAAAACAAAGAAAAGAATGTGAATTAGTTATGGACAGAGTAAGTCTAATGCTATCAAAATAGCTTGCTAGCAAACTCATCTATGGTGCTTCCATCCACATTAGAAATAGAGGATTTTCTAGCAAGATCTCTAAGCTGTGACAAGCTTCTTCCAAGCTTCGTGGCCACCTTCATTTCAAACATTTCTCCTTCTTCCCTTTTCTCCAAATCTTTCTCTTGAATTGTGGATTCAATCGATTCCTCCAAAAGTTTAAAGAATCCAGCACTGTTTCTGTACATTTCAACAACCATGCCAACTTGGCCACCATGCTCGAATGCATTGACTGAGCTAGCTAATGCACCAGCTGTGACTGCCACTATTGCTGCCCAAGATCCATGGCCTACAAAGGCAGAACCAGCAGCTGCAATGCCAGTGAGTAATGGACCTGATATAGCTAAAATTTTGTTTATTTTCAATGCCAAGTTGCCTAGTCTCATATAATCTTCACTATCTTTTCCCTTTACCACTTCAATCACCTCCGTCATCTCCTCTTCAAGATCCTCACTCCACCCATTCTTTCCTTGCGTTATCACCTGTTTAGGCTGTTCTCGACTTTGGGACTCGTTTGATTTAGGCCACCAAACAGCAGGCTCAAATTTTGAAGGGAACTTTTCGATCATTTTTCCTAACAAGGGAAGAGGGTAAGCTTTATCAAGAGCCAAAACTCTGTCCATTGCATCTTTCACATCTATCTCAGTAGGATCACGAAGAGCAAGAGTAGTTTGTATTTGGCTATAAAGTTGCTTGAACAATCTTGTGGCATTTCTTTGCTCTTCTGCAAGCTGTGAGGGCTGGATTTTGTTCATGATAAGTAACATTCCGGTAGCTGCAGAAAATAAAAGAGTTGATGATAACTTCAAAGCCAAAAGAGGTGCTCCTACTGCACCACCCGCTGCAACACCTGCCATGGTTGCAGCTGTGAGAGTGATCATGTTAATTGAATTCAAAAGAAGAGTGTTCCAATTGTCGCGTTGCTCGCCGATGTTTCTGTGCATCTCTATCCTATCAGCAACAGCCTCTAAGATTGCATAAACCTTGGCTGCTGCTGTAGTATTAGCTGTAGAATTGATTGGCTCATATTGATCTACTCTTGTGTTTTCTAATGGGATTTTACTTGTGAACCCATCTCTTAAACTCAGTTCCTCGGCTAGTTTTAATGGATTTTTTGGAACTGATAACTGAATTTTTTGAAGTTTAGGGACAGAAATGGCAGCGTTGATTCTTTTCGAACAACTATGAGAAGAACAAGAGACTAGAAAGCATGAAGCTTGTAATGAGGCCATATTGTAATCTGGGGTTTCTTTGATCTTTTTGTGCTTTGGTTTCTTTGATGTGTTTGTAAGCAGGATGACAAGTTGGTAATGAAAATGGAGGGAGGCAATGGAAGGTATTTATAGTAACGAACATAACTGAAAAGAGAAAAGGTCGTATCTGTTGAATTGACTGCATGCATGATCGAGTTGACAAGGCAGAACACAACATCGGCTATTGGCTGCTGACCGGACCCGTTCACCCCTTGAAAATCTACATGCTTCAAATTTTATACTTCAAACTGTCTCTTTATTGAGTCTTACGTGAGAAGTTGTAAAACTTGTCCTGCTTATTAAATTGATCAATTCTACAGTCATAATATATGTTATCTTCTTTTCTTGTGTCATCATTAATGCTCATGCAAAATTTTCTAAATTTGGATTTTATTAATAAACTTTTCTTCAGGCTTTTACTGCCCCTTAATTCCATAAGTAGTGGAGATGATCTCATTAGATAAAAAAAAAAAAGCACTAGAGAAAAATGGAATATTTTGGAATTGGTTGACCGTGGCAATACGCAACATGAGATATGCCCCCCCCCCCCCCTTTTTTTTTTTTCTTTTTAATTCCCATCGATGATATCATTGACTTGTTAATAAATTGGGATTAGGACGAAAAAAATTAAGGGAAACAAAGAAAAGTGTTACTTTTGAGGTATGTGATGATGGATTGATGAACAAAATAGTATATTCACAATTGAGGTAATGCTAACTTAATTTGGTATCAATGTTGTCATGACAAACATGAGATTTAATTTATATTTATTTCAAGTTTTGAGATACATGATAGAGAGGATTATTAAAAAAAAAAAAAAAAATTATTTATTTATTTCTCAACAATTGTTTGGGTACGTACTTATGCTTCATACTTGGAATTTTTTTTTTCCAACATGTTTGGATATTTTTAGAAACAATGCTTCCTCCAAAAATGACATTTCTAATTGGATATTTGAAATTATATATAAAAGATCTTAACAATGATTCAACAATTCTTTCTTAGCCTTTCATTTGATCAAATCTCCTGTTACAGTACATAATTTCTCAGTTTGTTGTGGCATCATTGCTCATGCAAAATTTTCCTGATTGGGACTATATTCATTAACTCTTGCCTCAAGCTCTTATACTCCCTTCCATGAGCAGTGAATACGATCTCATGATATAAAAAACTAAAAAACTTGCAGCATTTTGAAATTGATTGACCTCGGCAATGCACCTGATGGAGGATGCTTTTTCTTATAGGTTAAGAAAAAAAATGATTGTGTTAAAATTACGTACGATACTGATCCAAATAAAGATTGAGAGGATATATTGTTTTTAAAGCAATAATTTAAATTTATATGATTTGCACAATTTCCACTGTTATATAATTAGTTAGTGACATGATCATACATAATTATATATAATTGAATGCTTCAAAATAAATTTAGATATTATAATAACTTATATATATATATATATATATATATATATAGCTTGTAGCTTGTGTTTGCCATCAAATTAGGTGTAATTTTTTTTGTATTACTTCATATTAAAATCTTTATGAATAATATGATTTTACTATACACAAATTACTCTTGATATATTAGAATTTTTGTTAAATCAAATTAAAAAATTTCTATTAATATTTTTTTAAAAACGTGAATTTCATTTATATATTGAGATACTTTAATTGTTATTCTTTATTTTATTTGTTTTTCAAAAACTAATTTGGTATTAAAAATTAATACAAATGAAACTATTGAATCATAAAATATACCTCATTTAATTCATCATTGAAGTTGCTTCCCAAATCCTGAAAAAAGCTCCATATTTTTTAGCCTCCTTAGAAGCCAATTTCTTGAAATACTTGATGATGATGTATGTTAACATTATAGTTTCCTCCAATATTTTATTTATTTATTTATTTATTTATTTTTGCGGGGATTCATTGTTCAAATAAGAGTTAACCTTAACGCTTTCTATTCTTTTTAAAAATGCTAAATACATTCATATCATTTCTTTAACATAAAGAAATTTTTATTGTTAAGTCACACAAAAGTTATTCATATACCCTCATACTATCTTTCATGGGCAGCCGCAAATCATGTGGCTCATGTCGCATTCTTGAAAGAATCCATTTTTCTTCAATTTAATGGGATACCTTTCAATTATAAACGACTAGCACCGTTGGATTGATGATAGTGTATAGCTTAGATTGCTTTTAAATTGCTTGCTCATTTGTACGGATCGATACTGTCCATGTAATTAGAGATGGTACAATTATATACATGATTTATTCATATCTCTTTTGTATTTACAAATAATGGATATAGCAATGTATTGTATGGTTATTGTTCGTTAGAGGGAAAAAAAAATCATGCACATTGCTTGGTGCTTGACTAATTAAGAGACGCTAAATAATAAATATTTAGAGACATTAATTTTCTAAATTTACATATTCGTAATTACTATATATATTCACAGCTATGAAGTAAACTTTAGTTATAAAGCAAGTTAGAAACTTAAATTGCTTCTTGTAGGGTTTGTAATGCAATATTGTAATAATTTATATTTTTTACTTGTAAACTAAACTTTAATTATAAAGTAAAGGTTACATTTTTTTTTATAGAATTTATAATAATTACATATATTATCAAAAAATAGTAAAAATATCAGGTCAGATGTTGGGGTTAGTAAACTTTGCATTTGTTTGGATTATCGAATCATATTGTTAATTAAACCAATTTAATTCGCATAAATTTGGATGATAACTCAACCCAGCAAGATCAATTTTGTTATATATTTTCTCAGTTTCTTGGGGCATAAAAGACATTGTAAAACTACCTAACCTTACTTGAAAATATTTACAATTAGAATATTTAAAGAATTTACCTAACCTTACTTGAAACTCGTAATTATTACCCCTTCCAAGAGTATTGGAAGAAAACTGGAATCCTAAGATCCAAGCAAGTTGATTAGATTCCTGTATGCATAAAAGTCTGCTGATCTTATCGTCCAAGTGGTTGATGTTGACGTTACTTTTGCCCCAAAGTATTCAACTTGGCAACTTGTGTGGGTTCTTATACATGCTTGTATATTTTTAGAAATGAATAATTAGACTATAATTATATCTTTTTAAAAAAAAATTCTACATTATATTTGGCAACATCACTAGAATTATTTCCACATTTCAAATCTTCCTCCTGAAGCATTAATATCCTCTCATTAGGCCTTGTCCATTTCAAAATTCCCACCTTTGCCTCCGGTCCAAATGAGATATCATGTCGTGCAATTTTTTTTTTTTCTCTTCTTTTCTTGCCCTTGACCTTACAATTTATCTCACTTCAACTCTTGTACCCTTAATTTCCACATTAGAAGTCGTCTCATATGGCAGTCCATTTGATCTCATGATAAAACTGTAGAAAGGATTATAAATTTTTTGGACATATTCATACTCATCTCCACATGATAATGAAGGAATCGGTCTAGAAAAATAATGAAAGAATGTGAGTTAATTACGTACAAAAACTTCTACTTTCAAAATAGCTTGCTGGCAAACTCATCTATGAGAAGTAGAGGATTTTCTTGCAAGTTCTCTGTTGTGACAAACTTCTTCCAAGCTTCAATGCCACATTCATTTTGAACAATTCCCCTTCTTTCCTTTTCTTCAAATCTCTCTCTTGAATTGTGGATTCAATTGATTCCTCCAAAAGCGTAAAGAATCCAACACTGTTTATATACATTTCAACCACCATACCAACTTGCCCACCATGCTCAAAATGTATTGACGTGCTCGCTGATGCACCTGCTGTCACTGCCACTATTAACACCCCATAACTTTTACGCAAAGCAAAGGTTTCTGCGGTTCAAACTTACCCAATCACAAAGCCTTTGAACAATACATGATATGATATATCGCATTTGTCCTGTAAATGACTAGCTCAAGTTCATAGTTCCCACCAATCACCAGCTCCAAAAAATAAAATAAAAAAGGAGATCACATGTACCAATAATCATTTGATTGGACGCCTAAATTCTTCTAAGAGTAAGTTGCCATGAAAACAAACCCATGGAACTCCTAGCTAGACATGAATTCTTGTTTCATACATCACAACTTGTAGGTCAATGCACATACATAAGAATGCATCAGCAAATATTGATTTTCCATAAAGTTAATCACTTCAACAGACACCTCTTCCTCTTACTTAATATGGAACAATAGTGGAAAAAGTTCAACCAATCATGGTGCGCTTTCGACCCCTTTGTCGAACTGTAATAGGTTGAAAACAATAACAAAATGAGAATACTAAAAAAAAGGAATAAGTAGAAAAGTTGATTAATTAGGAGAGCAGGGATGCACCTTGAGCTAGCTTGTTCAATGTAGATGACCACTGCTTTGAGGACTTCCTGTACCCAGCAAGTATGCGATCCATCTGTACAAGAACATAGATCATGAGCAACTTTCTATTTTGCACATTTCTATTCAGTTCCATTTTGACTCCACGGACAGTAAAAGAGAAAACTAAAATGTACTTTAAGAAGCAACACTTCAACAGTTGCTTTAACAAATTCATTATGACAATTTTGTATAAACTAGGTTCACTTCTGCACTTCTATTCCAGTACTAACTAAAAAAGTTGAGCTTGTGCAAAATAAATAGTTTTACTGTTCCATTATTGATATAATTAAACTCGATGGAAAATTCTCAAATAGTTTGTCTGTCATTCTCAATTTATTTAAAACTCCTTTTCTTTGCATTTTGTCAGAAATCCAAAATAGCATACAGGAAATTAGGATATGATAAAAATTTAGTCTTGGCTCACCACATTCCCACATGAAGAATGCATTGAAAGTAAAGCTCGTTCCAGCACATATAAATCAACAGCTTTGTCTTCAGGAAGGGTTGATGTGAAGCTCAGGCCAAAATCAATGAGGACCTGAGAGAAGATAGTTCTGGTTGAGATGCAGAGATATCGTAACAAACAAGGATACAATCAGAGAAAACAAGGATTCCTTCACCCCAACTATAACAGATAAATAACTCACCAATTGATTGGTACCAGTACGAATTAGCATATTTGATGTGGTCAAGTCACCATGAATGAGACCACCATCATGTAGTTTTCCAATTGAATCACCAATCTGCATTGCAATGTCATCCAATCGTTCTTCCACAACACCATGTAACCCGAATTCAAGGAAGACATCTTTCACAGAAGGACCATCAACATACTCAAATGTTAGAGCATGCAGAAGGGGATCCACAGCATACAACACAGGAGTAGACACGCCTTGTCGTCTTGCCTTCGTCATGCATCTAGCTTCCTGATCCAAAGTTTACAGAAAACATTCAACACAAGAAAAAAAAGTTTACTTCAAACAATTTGTAGAGAAAACCATTGAAAAGAGACCTTATAATAAATAACTAACCGCATTTAAACGCTTGAGAGTAAGTTTAGAATCCAGAGTTGGATGCCTATACTTCTTTGAGAAACGCTCCTTGATAACAGACCTCCTTCCAACAAAGTTTGACTCAAAAACCCTCTAAAAGAAAACAACCAAACAAGCATAAGCGATAGCGTGCTGTATCTTTCCTAAGTAGGTTGTGTTAGAATTCAAACACTAACAAGACATTCTCAATAACCATTGTGACAAGTGACTGCATGTGCTATTTGGGTGCAGTCAGAATAATTGGGAATGCAATATCATGTTGTCTCAAGAATCTTATAAGTACCAATGTTAAACCTGAACTCACCGCTTCAGCTCCTTGCTTGATCAGAATAAGGGAGCTATCTTTGACCTCTGCATCTATCTCCATAATGTTCTGTTGCACCAGAAGTTTGCCACATGTATATAAATTAGCAACAAATAATCTGTGCTCATAATAATCATTACAAAACAAGGAAAAGAAAAGTAGAATCAACAGAATCGTAACACTCTAAAATGCCATCTTTGAGATTTTAGTCTTTAATTTTTTTCCCCCTTTTTTTCTCTTCCAGCCTTGCAAATATCATGAATGAACCTAATTTCAGGTCAAAGCAAAAGCTCCGAAAGTTTAAAAAGGAAAAGCAATTACATCCAAAGGAAAAAAAAATGCTAAAATTGAATTCCTAGCATGAATGAATAGAACTAGCATGGTATAGAGGAGGGGAGGGGTTTAGGGTAAATTTATAGATAAAAAAATATTTTCCTTTGGAGCTATTTCTAGGGTTTTGGGATAAAAAGTTTGATAACGAAGGTTAAATAGAATATTTGGGAAGGGATTAGGGTTGTACAATGCCAGGTTACTATTAAAACGACGAGTATTTTGCAATTCTACAGCTAAAGACTATTATAATCTCTGAAGTTTAATTTTCAGCAAATGCAGAGTTGGAAATACTTCAACAAGCAACTTGTAACATAAAAGATTGCTCCCTGTGATCAATGGCTACCTAAATTACTATGCTACCAGGTCTTTGTCAGTTAATTCTTTGTTTCCTCGTTAGACTGGAACTTTGACCGTACAAAGAACTGCTGCTATAATCATTTCAAGGAGTTGCAAATTCTCTTCTGCCAATTTCGCACATTCAATTATTCAAACCCACATCAAATTTTGATTTCAAATTTCAAATCTTACCTTGAATGGAGATGAAAAAATGGCTTCCTGGCTGGTGGCTGACTGGCTGAGAGTGAGAGAAGAGTATGGAAGTCGGAAGAGGAAGACTGGAAGTGAGGATGCGTCGATGACGAAGACACGAAGAGGAAGACTGGAAGTCGACTGTTGCTGTGTCTGTTTAGTGCGTTCGGATAGGGCTTGTTTCCTTTTTTAGTTTTATTTTATTTTATTTTTTTCAATAAACAATATAATAAATATAGTTTTTAATAAATATATATTGCCGATTTTTAGGCAAACAAAATGTAAAAGAACATACATAAAAAAAAATAATTTAAAAGAAAAATGTAAAATAACATTTCACTTATTATTAAATATCCGACCTAACATAAGTTTTTTCAATTAAAAGAAAATGAATTCTAATAGATTAGAATAAATAATTTTATATACCTAATAATTTTATATGACTGAGTCATGTATAAAATATTAATACTAAATGTAATTTAAAAAAATTTTATGTTAAAGATTTTACTTTTTTTTAGTCTTAAATTAGAAATTGTAAAAAAAAATTTACTTTTTTTTTATATATACTAAATTTAATTTAAAAATATGAAATTATATCATTAAACATCACTATTTCAATATTAGTTAGAGATGATAAAATTATATACATGAATTATTCAATATCTTTTTTGCGTTTACCAATCAATCATGTGTATATCATTGAATTGTGTGGTTATTGTTTGTTAAAGAAAAGTATAAAAGTTAGTTTTGAATGGAAAATTTGTGTGTTTATAAATTAAAATATTAATTATCACTGAAAAAAAAAAGATAATCAAAATACTAGTTAATTGTCAATTTCAACTATTTTAGATTATTTGCCTAAATATTTATTAGAGATTTAATTTTGATATGAACTCAAAATACTTGATAGTTGAAAATGAAAAATAGGAACTCACTTAAAAGAAGGAGAAAAAAAAACAATTCATTGTTATACAAGAAAAAAAAATGATTTCTTTTTCTTTTTATCTAAAGGGAATTTTTCAATTTTCATTTCTAATTTTTAAAATCTAGAGAAAATTTCATGATAAACTGATATGTACTGGGCCTATAGTTCAAAACATTTAAGCCCAACATACAAGAAGATAGGATCCGGTCCAAACAGAACAAAATAGGTCCAAACGATATAAATTAGTCTCTCAATTAATTCTTTTTGTTTCAAAAATTAATTATTTAATACATATATTTTTAAGTGTTCTTATAATTAATCACTTTTCATTATTTTTCAATTTATTTTATTTAAAAAATAGAAAAAGAAAAAAATTGGTAAAAAAATATGAAAAATTAAAAAAAATTAAATAATTAATTTCTAAAACAAAAAAGCACTAATTAATTCATTTCTAAAAAATAGAGAGATTAATTTGTAATTTTCTTAATTGCTAAATTACTTTAATATTTTCATGCAGAGAAGTGGTTACTAATTAAGTTATGTTTCCATCCTAAGAATATCTTCGTTATTAATTATATATTCTCTAGAAATCATCAACTTGATAGTCTAATCAAATAATATATATACAAAGTCATCTAGGAAAATTTTAAATTTTAACATCATGATGTTGATAGACAAACATGTATTATTATCATAATGAAATCAAATCACAATAATTTAAAATTTTCAAGTTTTGATGCATTAAAAAAATGGAGAGGTTAGCAAATCATTATCTTGACTAAGTAAACAATTTGCTCTGAGGTAGCCATTTGCTAAGCAAAGTAGATAGAATATTCCCAACGTTTTAATGACTTTAGTCAAACGCATGTAACTCATGTTGGTATTGTCAGGATCCTTTCCAAAATGCCAAAGACAACAACTGACTCTACAACACATTAACTCCCACTTGTCACTTCTTTATGTGTTGTTAGATATTTTAAGAGCACTCCCCTGGTCAGGTTAGCAAGAGAGGAGACGAGAGGGAGTTAGGTAGGAGTGATCATTAGTATAAAAGGTTGATTCTTGTAGGTCAATTTAGCAAGCGGAAGGAAAAACAAAAATGGGGTCAGTAGCAAAGAGAGGATTCCAACAGTACTTGTTACAGCTTGAACAACACCCCTTGAGAACTAAGGTATGTGTGTGATGTTAAATCTGTCTTTGTTATGTGTTTTTCTTGTTTGTTTTTGATGGGTTTGTTTTGATTGAGGAAGAAATTGATGAAAGTTTGAATCTTTTCCTTTTTTCTTTTTTTTTTCCGTCTTTATTTTTTTATTGGGTATTCTGATTGAGGGCAGAATGTGATGAAAGTTCTGATCTTTTCAATTTCTTGGGGTTTTTTCAAAGATGGGAAATTGAGGTCAACTTCAACTACCCTCTTGATGATTGCAATTGTGTTGTGAGAATTTGAGATCCAAATTTGTAAATGATTGATCTTTGTGAATTAGTAATATGATCTGATTATGTAAGAAACGTTTGTGTGATGCAGGCAATTACAGCAGGGGTGTTGTCAGCTGTCAGTGACATAGTAGCACAGAAACTCACTGGCATACAGAAACTTCAAATCAAAAGGATTTTGCTCAAAGTGGTATAAGCTTCTTTCTCATTTCATTACCTTCACTTCGTTTTCCAATGAAACTGAGTGAGCAGTGTGAGTTTAATTGGTTTCCATTTCTTTTTCCCTTTGATTTTTGTTGTGGAATACTGTAACTTCATTGATTGGTAGAGCCAGAATCACAGCAATTTATGTGTCAGGACTCGGAGTAAGTTTTGATTATCAGCTCAATGAAATTGACTTATCTCAGGGTAGTTCACTTAGTTGTAGACAGGTATCTGTGATAGAGGAATTGCAACTTTGTGTTGCTTTGTAAATTGTTTCTTCTGTTTCAAAATTGAATCATTTCATTTCTGGAAAAATGGCAGAATGATGGTGCTCGTTGAATGTGTATCAAGCCTGATATTAAATACTTAAGGGCTATTGATTGCAAACAACGGAAATTGCGGTTGAATAACCTTGAATCCATGGAGAGTGATGAGGATTATTGGCATTTGTTGCTCATTCAACACTAATTGGTCTTTGTTGCTATACCTAGAGGAATATAAGAAAACTGTAGATGAGCTGATGACCGTTTCAAAACTAAATAAGATTAACTATGAAATATGCCCAGATTTACAATATGTGTAGAGTATTGAGATATTTTTGCAAAGTTCAAGTGCTACGAAGGCGTTATTCCTCCTTTGTCACTTGTGATCATACAACTGTCTGATTTTTTAAACTGTGAAACACGCTGCCATTTATTTCTTGCTACTTATGTCCATCCATGTGCCAACTGGAGGTGCAGTCTGTGTTAAATAAACTTTTTAATCTAGTGGTTTAACTTTGGTCTCTTCCTGCGAAACACCATGCATTAGATGCAAATAACAAGCATTTTGCACACCAAGTTGATCAAATCTACCTATATTTCATTCTCGAATCTGGTCTTTCAGTCTCGGCTTTTGAGTTTCAAATGTAATTGAATTGGCTATAACAAAGCAGAATAGTGATTCCCTGGCAGCATGCATAAACTACAGAAAATTTGGGTTTTAAATACATTAAAAAGTTGCAAATAGTCTAAGTTGTATGCATATCAACTGCTGATATGTCAATTGACATCGGCATATTTGCATTACATCTTTTCTTTTCTTTTTACAATCTTTCATCCTAACATGGCTAAAATGCAGCTTTTTGGGTTCGGATATCTTGGACCATTCGGGCATTTCCTACATTTATTGCTTGACAAAATTTTCAAGGGAAAGAAGGATACCGCAACAGTTGCCAAGAAGGTATACTACCTTTGTGGCTCCATCTGTAAAATTCTAATCTCATAACTCTTCTATAATTGATTGGTAACTTCCCCCTCATATAATTAATGCTGTTTTCGATTTTGTTGTACCTTAATTATGCTCTATAGGTTACAGTAACCCTTATTGCCTATTAAATTAAATGATCATATTAAAATGCTGAATCAAATTATTTCAGGTGGCTGTGGAGCAGTTGACAGCTTCTCCTTGGAACAACTTGGTTTTCATGATTTATTATGGGATGGTTATTGACGGTAAGTCTGTATCTGCTCATCTTAAGACTCTTAGCTCAGCAAAGCTGCAATCCTATCTGACTATCTGAGGCTGGCTTTTCTAAGCTTTTATGTCCATAAAGTATGGTATGACACAGTAAAAACTACATTGGTGAAGTTATAAGTCCAGATCCATGGAAAGGAATCTGTAGCAAAAACAAAGGGATTAACATATAATTTGTTTTCTTGCAGTCCTCACTAATTATGATTCTGATGTAAGCTTTTGACATATAAATTGGTTTCTTGCAGTACTCACTAACTATGATTCTGATGTAAGCTTTCTTCTGTTTTTTTAATTCGAAGCACTTTTGCATGACTTCGTAAAGTCAAAGAACTGTCAAATTTTAAAATGAAGTTAGCTAGGAAAGAAGCATTTGTTGGCTAGGTATAAAAAACTTTCATACAGCCATTAGGAAATTATATACTAATTGAGTGCTATGTTGACTGACAGACAAGAACATTATTCCTGCTTGTTATCTAACAAGAAATGTGAAATGCAGGAAGACCCTGGAGGCAGGTGAAAACTAAACTGAAAAAGGAATACCCAGCAATACAGTTCACATCATGGACGGTATTGCTCTTTTCTTATTACAATTAATGCAATTTGTTACATTAAATAAATAATCTATTTGTTGTCATAAAACTTTGATAAATGGAAAAACGCAGTTCTGGCCAGTCGTTGGATGGGTAAATTTCCAGTACGTGCCGCTGCAGTTCCGTGTCATCTTCCACAGCCTTGTTGCAGTAGGCTGGTATTTACTTCTTCTCCAACCTACTCTTCTCCATTTTAAATTTTCCTTACTGGATTTTACAGAAAATGAGATTGGCTTCGTTTTCCTCCTTAATGCCATTTTCAGGGGAATATTTCTAAATCTCCGGGCAAAGTCTATGGCGTTGACCAAAGGTTCATAGAAGAACAAGAACAGAAATCACCTATATGTCACCGACGATGAATAATTCTTCCTTTTGCATGAACATATTATGTGGCTAGCACTTTGTATTGAGCAACCATAATCTCAGCAATATTAGTCCTTTATTTGTTTGAGTGTAACGTGTGATGGATGTTGATGAAATTTTAATCGGAAATGCTTTCTTTTGCTATCTTTGCTTTGACTTTACTAATGATTGATTTTTTGTGATTTCCAGTCTGTCCAGTAATTCATGCTGATATTACATATATGTTTTATATGTATGGTTCTACCTCATATTATTATGTATATATAAATGTTTATGTTTAGTTACAAGACGTTTTTAATTATACCTAGTTTTTTTTTAATTATTATATATTGCCGTTTTAGTGTATATTTATTTATTTATTATTCAGAAAATCGCAAAAAAAAAAAAAAAAGGCAATATGTTTTTTTACCATTGCATCAAATAGGTATTTGCTTCACTTTAGAAAACTCTAGAAATTTTATAATTTACCAAGAGTAACTAGTGGCATGTACAGTAGTTACTTCATAGGTCTATTATGAAGAAAGAGATAGACACATAAAAAATATAGAAATTACATCTATACTTATCAAAAGTGATAAGAAGATTTCCACGTCTATTTAAATTTTTTTATTTTCTCTCTCTTTTTTTTTCTTTTTTTATATGTCTATATCTCTTTTCAAAATGGGCTCATAGAGTAACTACTGTACATGTCACTAGATTACTCCTGGTGTATTATAAAATTTCTCTAGAAAATTCATTGCAAACAACATATAAATTGGATTAGTGTATGAGTATTTTTTTCTTTATTAAATCAAAAATTTTAAAAAAACTAAATACTAATAAGCAGGCTTAGCTAATAACTTTATATAAAAACATTACTGTCTTTTTTTACCTAAAACAAATAAATTTATTAATATTTTACAATTATTTAATTCTCTTTTACCCTTTGATTGTCCAAGTTGGCAATAACCAGTCGCCAGTTCCTCTTGTACGAGCCTCGAAGCTTTTCTTCAGTCTTCTTCACCAGGATGACAAATGCATTTATAATCTTGTTATAAAGATATGCAAATATGAAATAATAGCAGAACTATACATACTGCATGATCAAAATAATATTGTTTATCCTCCACTTGTTTCATCATATAATATTATTTATCTTCCATTTGTTTCATCATATCGCTTAAGAAAGTAAAAATTTCCACCACCACATTTGTGAAGAACTTCTAAGCTATTACAGTCTGAATCTATTCTCATATAAATAGGGATAATTAGGATTATAATCCCATCTCAATCTAATCTGTTTCATAAACGGATTAGAATTATAATTTCCTCCAATATTATAATTTTTTTTAATCTTAATGACTGTATAATCATCTTAAACCATATTAAATATTTTTCATTCATTTCTTACTGTTAGTGACATAATAGCTATGTATCATTTCTTCACATCAAGAAATTTTAAATTGTTAGTCACATGATGTTAATGTGTACATCATGAGTTTTATGTCTTCTAAAATAAGTTTGGTATTGAATATAAAATAATCACGTATATCATATGACTGTATTTCTTAAAATACTGATAGATAAAAAGATTATAAAAATACTTTTGGAATATATTTTTCTTCTCACACTTTCACAAAGAGATAGTGCATGAAGAGCATGGAGGTAATATCCTTCATGTCAAATCAAGTTGCTTGATGAGTCTATTTTTCAGTGCAATTTTTTGTCAAAAAAAAAAAAAAAAAATTCATATGCAAGTCATGTGGTTAATTGTGACGTGATGGATTAGAAATTAATTAAAATAACAAAAACATAGTGAGCCTTTTTAGAATATAAAGATGTATTGAAAACTTAAGTTATTATACGAGGACGAATGAAATTATTAATCCTTAAAGTTTATAATCTTTAAAGTTTTTATGATTTTGGATTGAGGTTTAAATTTTATAGAACCAAAAAACTATTGAAAACAAAACCATTAAATTATGCCATATATACGTATTTAGATTTTAGGTAAGAGGAAATATGCATTGAACTAATGATGCTATCCACGTTTTCTTTCTTCTAATCACATTAATAGAAAAAGATCATCAATTAATAATTTTTAAAAAAGAAGTAAAAAATACTATTAACTATTTTCATTAAGTTGATAGTTTCACTTCAGATTTTAATTAAAAACTCTAAAAATGAATTAATAAATATGATTAACCAATTAAAATCACACGGATTCAACAATGTGAAAAGAATTTCAGATTGTCTGGGCCTTAGAGTCTATGCAGATTACGACAGTGTGGGCTTTAAGGCCTGAAGCCGATTCTTTTACCCGGTTAATAAGTAAATATAGTCCACATAAAATAAAAGGGCCATCTTTTATCGTTTTCTTTTTTTTTTTTTTTTTCTTTAGATTAATCTTACTTCTATCTACACAAATCTAATTGATTCCTTGGGTTGGTAGAACTCATTAAATATATAAATAGTTTATTGACAAGTTTATTAGACTTTAGGCTACATGGATGGTGAAGGACGATTTTAGTCCATTACATAATAATTAAATAAATTAAAATTATTGGCATAATTAAATAAATTAAAATCGTTGGCACTTGGAATTATTTTGCTAGAAAAAATTAATTAATCTAAATTATGTCTGCTTTTTGTATAAAATTAAAATTTTTAAGCTAAAAATTATTTTGTAATATATATATATAGGTCACATAATTAATTATAATACTAAATTTGATATACACGTATTTACCTTTTAGGTCAGAGGAAATTAGTAATAAATCCACAACAATAAAAAAAAATATTGATTAATTATTATTGAGCTGGATACAATAAAATAAAATAAAAAAAGAAGGCGAAAGGATGGCTTCACTTTAGATTTTAATTAAAAAATGTACATTGCATAATGTATAAATGCTCTCTTTTTCTTCATTAAACCAAAATTTGCTAAAAACCAATTAAAAAATCTACTTATCTCAGAATATCTCCCAAAACAAGTAGGGATTTATTTCACTGCATCTCTCACTGTATCTCTCAAGTACATATCCAGTGCATCTGTCAACAAAGTGAGATATTAGACATTAACTTAGTCTCTTTCATCTACTTCTCTCATCACTTTTCTTAAGAAAAATGAGGCATTAGAACTTAAGCTAATGTCTTTCAAGTTCTGATAATCAGAATTTTAATTTCCTCCAATATTTTATTTTATTTTTTTATAATCGTAATAATATATAATCATTTTAAACAATAATATATATATATATATGCTATCAGACTACACAATGATAGTAGTCCTTCCTTACATAATCATTAAAAAAACTAGAATCACCACCACTTGAATCCTATTTCATTAAGAAAGTTACCTGGTTACACAACCTTATTATATATTTCTGGCATTTCTTCATCATATAAAGGAATTTTGGATTGTTAGTCACATAATAAGAATGTGGACATCATGAGTTTTGGCTTCTAAATAAGTTTGGTATTGAATGGAAGCTAATCACATATATGCAGGAAGAGTATGGATGAAATTGGCAGCAAATCTTAGGTCTAACAGGGCATTAACTCGATTCTCTTCTTGTGCCGTGTTTTTCAAGAAGAACAGGAAGCGAAGAAGAATCATGATATGTATCAGCAAAAGACATCATGATCATCATCAACAGCTAGCAACAGCAACGGACAAGTTTTCTCTAGACAACCAGAAGAGGATGATCACTGATATTCTGCTTCGACTTCCAACAGAACAATACAACAAACAACGTGCATGGGAGCTTTTTGCACCTTCACATAAAAACAGGATCAATAGGTTCACACGATGGACAGTATATATTGTTCTTAATTTCCCACAATTACAACAATGTGCATGCAATGTGTATCCGTTTCCTATCTACGATGAACATTTCTCTTGAAAAGTAATTGCACGTTCCTGACATGTGAATCAAATTAAGAATGTTAGGATTTTTCAAATATAATTAGAGGAAAGCTGTTTTGTTGTATAGTTTGAAATTCCTTGGGATTTCGCACAAAAAAAGAAGTCTTGGGGCACTATCCAAATGTTTTGGAGAAATTTGATCATCTTCTCTTAAAATAATGTTGAAATCCTGTTGAATGCACGGTTGTGGCTTGAAATAGAATGCATTTATATGAGTATAAACATTTTGACCAAACGAAGGAATGACAGATTTTCGACATGCACGTATTTAATAACGGCCAAAAGATCATGCTAGCCATGCATCCTTATAATATTATTTTTTTCAGCTGATTGGGATGTCCGTTGGGTCTTAAATTATATAGTAAAATATGTTCACGAGTCATTACCTAATTAATAATCAAATAAAATAAAATTATTAAAATTAAAATTTATTCTATTAAAAAAAGTAATATATTATTTTATTTTATTAGTTCAGCAATAAAAATGTAAAATGTTTTCGGATCAATTTTTATATATCTCAAGATTAATTTCTTTCTAAACGTAGTTAAAAAGCATTTCTTAAAACACGATCTCAGAGTATTTTGAATTATTTACGCTTAGTTGATAGTTTCATTTTAGATTTTGATTAAAAAGTCTGCATTTTGTGCCATATACTAAATAGTATCTAGTTGAGTACTTTCATCAAAAAATTTGGAAAGCTTCAAGCGTGCATGCACATTAATTATAACTTTGTCGAGATTTGTTAGCTTTTCACTAACTTTACTGAAACTTTTTCTTTCAAAATGATCAACGAATCCACTTGAAAATTTCGATATATATAAACACATACACTCACATATATAGAAACATAATATACATTAATATATATATTCAAAAATAAAATTAATTATCTAATTATAAATATAAAAACAAATTAAAAATTATTATATTATATAAAAATAGATTGAAACATTTATTATTATTATTTAAAAGTATAATATACTCCCATATTCTCGTGGTAGTTGGCATATATATTATTGGCATGCATATGGTCTCTATATATGATTAAACAATTACAAGAGGTGAGCTGTTTGCAAAATTTAAATAAGAAATTTTGTCTTGGGAAGGTTTGGCTTTTTCAATTTCAAGGCATGCTATAAGAAAACTCGGTTGTGGCTATTGAAAGTCAAACCATATTTATGGGAAACCCGAAATCTGCCATGGCCATCACCTATTGACTTGAACCAGTATGCTAATTAACCCCAACACAAGAAATAGTCAAATTTTGTAATCGAAGAATGCTTATTCAAACCCTTGCGTTTCAACCATTAGACCTTTTCCTTCGTGTTTTTGTCAACACCCTTCACCTTGTATAAATACCAAACAATGTTGGACCTCAAACCCAATTCACCTCACTAATTTCTTCCAAGCCTAAAACGTTAGCACAGAGTTAGCCAACCTAGATAATCCCATTCACAACAAAAGATTTCAGAAGTATAGTAAATTAGAGAAATTAAACCATGGCAAGTCTTCAAGTGTCAGGCATGGTACTTTCAGGTTCATCATCATCTTGTTGTAGTCATAAAAGAATGGTTAGAGCCACTATAAATGCACCGAAAAATTGGGTAAGTCCTCCATCTCTCCCAAACCTTTCCAACAAAGATTTTATGGAGGAGCTGAGGATTAGACCAGGTGGTTATAGAATACCAACAACAACAAATACTACTATACAAATGGAGAAAGGATCCAGTCCCAAGACCGGTGGTTCCGATCCAGTGGCGATTGCCAAGCTTTACGCAGTCATGGAAGCCGTAGCAGATAGAATAGAGATGCACAAGAACATTGGAGAGCAAAGAGATAACTGGAACCACCTGCTTTTGACATCCATTAATGCCATAACTCTCACTGCAGCTACCATGTGTGGACTTGCAGCCGCTAGTGCAAGTGGTGAACCTCTTGCAGGACTCAAGGCATCTTCTACAATGCTTTATCTTGCAGCAACAGGAATTTTGGTTATAATGAACAAGATCCAACCTTCACAGCTTGCTGAAGAGCAGAGGAATGCTGTTCGGTTGTTCAAGCAGCTTCACGGCCAGATTCAAACTTTGTTGTCCATTGGCAATCCTACTGTCAGTGATGTCAATGAAGCAATGGAGAATGTTTTGGCTCTAGATAAGGCATATCCACTTCCATTATTAGGTTCCATGCTTGAAAAGTACCCATCAAGTGTAGAGCCTGCAGTTTGGTGGCCTCAACGAAGGCGAAAACAAGCGAAAGGGATCGGTAAGAAGATAGATAGAAATGGGTGGAATGAAGAGATGGAAGATGAAATGAGAGAGATTGTTGGGGTTTTGAAAAGAAAAGATGAAGCAGATTACTTGAGATTGAGTGAAAAAACCTTGAAAGTTCACAAGATGCTGGCGATTTCCGGTCCTATACTCACCGGTCTTGGAGCTTTGGGGTCAGCTTTGGTAGGCAGTACTAACTCATGGGCTGTGATATTCGGAGTTGCTGGTGGTGCCTTGGCAAGCATAGTGAATGCAATGGAGCATGGAGGCCAAGTTGGGATGGTATTCGAGATGTACAGAAGCAATGCTGGTTTCTTTAAGCTTATGGAAGAGACTATAGAATCAAACATAAATGAAAGAAATGTATGGGGAAGAGAAAATGGGGAAGTTTTTGAAATGAAGATGGCATTACAACTAGGAAGAAGCCTATCAGAGCTCAAACATCTTGCAGCTTCTTCAAGAAATGCTGAGGAGGTCATTGATGAAGAATTTGCCAGCAAGCTTTTCTAGGGCTAATTTGAAGCTTAATCATCAACCTCTTTGTTAATAACCTGATATGATTTGTTGGTTTTTTGTGTATATAATCTAACAACATTTTTATATTCATCAGAATATTAGTACCTTTGAGGTTTTCAGGTCTTCTTTCCACTTTACGTTAAATTAATTAGCTAGGGTACTATTTTGTGCACTTAGTTGACAGTTTTTAGAATAATTAATTAAAGCATCATCATCCCTTAAACCCATGATAGGAGACTTCTTAAACACAAAATAATTGAAGGAATCCATCAACATGCATGAGAAGGTCAATAAATTGTTAAAGAAATGAAAACTTAGTTGAAATTCATCTTTATAAACTTAATTTAACGATTGCGTATCTAATAATTTTTTCTAAGCACCAGATTTAAGGTTTGATAATTTATTATATAATGAAAATTAAGAAAATCTGCCTCCATAACCAGTAGAAGAGGTCAGATTTAGACGTTGAGTTAGCTATTTTAATGGAAGAAATTGTCTAATTAATATTTCTTGGTAGAAATTAAAGAGGTCTGACTTGGAAAGCAGGGACCGACATAAATTGTCTTGGACATTCTATGGTATAATATTTATAATATATACTTGCGTATCTTATTTTTCAAATATTTCAACAGGCTATCTGTATTTTTATTTATTTATTCCATGTATAGTTTGTAATCGTTTATCACGTGCCAGCTATGCTAACCTCCGGTGAAATAAAAATGTCAAGTTTATTATAAAATTGCCATTATGCATGTGTTATAAAACCTATGCCTTTAATCGGTTTTTTTCGATTCAAAAACTAATTATTTAGTCCATACCGGTAAGTTATTTACTGAATATATTATTAATATATAATACTAATAATGTAATTTTCAACAAGTTGAAAGATGATTAATTAAAGGGTCCACACCGTTAAGTTCTTAATCTATCTATTATTAATACATAATACCAAAAATATAATTTCCAACCAAGCTGAAAGATGATGAATTAAAGGTCACAAAATGTTTATAATTTTTTTGTTATTTTTTTTAAATGGTTTTTATTCTTGAGAATTAAGGGTCACGAAAATAGCATGAAAGATGATTTTTGGCTTTATTATAATGATGGAGATAGTTAAAGAGAGAGAAAAAGAATGGATAAAGGAGAAAAATAAGGCATTAAAAAAAAAAAAAAACAAATTGGCAACGAAAATTTAGTGCAGCAAAAATATCACATCACTATTTTAACAAAATAATAATAATAATAAAAAGACTAAATTATTAAGTTATTGTTGAAATTAAAATATTAATGTTTATTATTTTTCCTCCTCCGTCGTAAAGAAATTATCTTACTTTTTATTTTGGTTTGTCTCATAATAGTTAATTAGCTTGTTAAAATATTAAGTTATGCATTTTTCTACGATGTTTCTAATTAAAACTCATTTTAATTATCCGAAGCCTACGTACAATTAGAAAGAGGCATTTTGGGGGAAAAAAATTGAATATATGACACTTCAATTAATGATTTTCTTAATCAGTAAAAAAATAAACATAACAATTTTTTTAAAACAAAAAAAATATATATATATATATATATTATTTAGACTTTTTGTGAGTCGGATTGTCTAATGGGCTACTTGACTGCTTCAAGCCGAAGAGTTATTCGTTGGGTTTAGGTGGGGATTTCAAGTCCATTAATCCAGTTACTTAACAAGTCAATACTGTTGAATTATTAAACTAGAGTATTCTAAATCACTAATATGTGTTATTAATTAATACTTTGTATGTTTTAAAATTTTGATGCTTGATTTGAATAGAAAAAAGTAATCACAAATGTTTTTTCTTCAATTTCTTTTCGGTTCTTTGAACCGAACCGACGGATCCAAAATGTGGGTTGCAAAATCTATTTAGAATCATGTTTGGGTCAATGATATTAGCTCGAGTAATCCAAGGAGAACAATGAGGCTGACCCAACCCTACCAAACCCATAAAGAGGTTTACTTCCTCCTAATTAGGAAGCAAATGGAATTTAATTAGTTGAAATTTGGCCAACTTCTAATAATTAATTAATTGATTAGAAATCAATTTGTGTGTAGCTAGCAGCTAGCATGTTCATGTGAATACAACACTTTACACCCACCACCCCTCATCATTTGGCAAAGTCATAAAACTGGTAAGTAGATAATCAAAACTATCACCATCGATCTTTCCTCTTTACATATTCTTACAAAAATAGTCCACAAGTAACATGGCCACAAAGGTGATTAGCTTTTAGCTTGATAACAACATGGGTAATGATGGATGTATATATATTCAGAACACGAAAACTCTAATGTATAGATAAATTCTATTTTGTTTATAAAAGTTTTTTTTTTTTTTTTCATTGTTATAATTCCGATTTATGAGAAGAATTTTTTTTTTTTTTTAAGAGATATCGTTCTTTGTATTATTTTCGAAAAAAGTTAACAAACTATATATAATCATACATTCTAGTAGTTACCCGGTTAGTTCATCTACCTTAAGCTACATGATTTGACGATCCCTAAAAATATTCAGTTTGTTGTGATTAGGTAGCTTGATATATATTTAATATTTGTAACTTTAGTCCTTATATATTTAATATTTGTAACTTTAGTCCTTATATATATATATATATATATATATATATATATATATATATACACACCTGAAACTTGAATGAAAAGCAAAATTAATATTTCCCTGAACTGAAAAAACATCATTGATTTTGGCTCCAAAATAATGTATTTTTTTAAATTTACTCATTTCTTTAGGATTTCATTGAGAAATTGATGGAAACCCATAAAAATCTTCTCAATTCCTTTCATTTTCTTTATCAATTTAGGAAAACATATTCACTGATCGAGAAAAAAGAGAAATTGAGAGATTTTTTAAGGGCTTTTCCGTCAATTAACAATAAAATCACAAGAGAAGAGACAAATTCAAAAATCAAATGGTTTAAAAAAAAAAAAAATCTCAAAAGGGTATTTGTCTTCTTTTTTTTTAATTCAAGAAAATATTTTACAATTCAGCCTATAGTCAAACATTCATTCACGCATCTATCCGTCCTTAAAAAAAGAAGAAGGAATAATATAAAGTTTAAAAGTGTTGGTAGGATTTTCTTCATCCTATAAATATTGAGTTCTGAAATTTAATTTTTATTATATCCGATAGTTTCATTTAATAAAATAAGATTCGAGTCTTATTTACTATAATTTTTTAATCATAATTATATAATAGATAAAAACTACCTCTCAAAACCCGTTCTTACTTTCACTAGGAAAAAATAAAAAATAAAAAATCGATCACGATGCACAATCACATTTACAAGTACTTAATTCCCACAAAATTGATGCACATGCATGAGAAGAATTAAAGCCATGAGCATATGCAACCTTGGAGGAAGTGGAGGTGGATGGGGATGGGGATGGGGATGGGATCTATGACGAAAGCCATGCATGATCAAGTAGTGTTGCTTTAGCCTTTAAAAAATATTATCCTTTTTACAGAAGGCATGGACCTAGCTACCCACCATCAACCAAATTTTAGTACGTTTCCATCTTTTGTCACCCACCCTTTTAATACTTTCTGACGTTGATTTCTTAAAATTTAGGGTTTGTGAAAAAGAAATTATAATAAAATTGAAGTCCGTAAAAAATGTACTCGCCTTTCTCAATCTTATACGTACTTCGTGTATTATATTGTGAGCATTTGTTGGGAAATCTTACATATAACATTCAAGGCTAATTCTCTATTGTCGGATGTAGCCTGTTTAATTTATTTTTTTCCTTTTTCTTTTTATTGCAGTAATATAACTAACTCTCTTGTTTTTTTTTTCCTTAAAAAAATAAATAAAGGCCATGAGTAAGACTTTAAAAGGTTTAATAACAAAATTCACGAGTAAATTATAAATTAGTTCTAGTTTCGAGGAATGAATTAATTATTTTTTTTAAAAAAACTAATTTTTAGTTCTAGTATTTTTAATTTTTTGCAACTTAATTAATCATTTTTCGTTATTTTTCAATTTAATCTGATTTTTTTAAGAAATAAAATAAATAAATAAAACATATCAAAGGATTGATGAAAAAATAAGTCTTTTTTTAAATAAAATAATATTAAATTAAGAGTAGTCATCACTAGTCAAAGAACTAAATAATTAGTTTTTGAAAAAAAATTAATCCATTACTTAAAACCAAGGGGACTAATTTATAACTTGAATTGAAGTGGTAAACATTTAAAGGCTTTTTTATCAATAGATTTGCATTTTACTTCATTTATTTGTTCATTGATCACAAGAATTAAATGAATAGAAATACTAACTCCTTAAATTAGAACTCCTCATCAAACTTGATGTTGTCTTCGTAATTATTTTTACTTCCATTTTAGGCCTCATGGTGAGTAATAAATTAGTCTTTTTAGTTTCAAGAAACAAATTAATTGATCTTTTTTATTTCCAAAACTAATTATTTAGTTCATTGACCATTGTTTTACTACATTTAATTTAATATTATTTTATTTTAAAACATATCTTTTTTTTTCTCATCAATCCTTTCTCTTTTTTTCTATTTTTTAAAACAAAAAATAAAATAAATTGAAAATAATTAAATTACAAGAAAATTTCAAAATACAAAGACTACATGATTAATTTTTAAAATAAAAAAATTAATTAATTTTTTTTTCGAATAGAGAAACTGATTTATATTTTACATGCATCATGGTACATGTCTATTTTAACTTTCACTTTACCACTTTCTATTTCTTGAACTTAGAAATGCTACTGAAAAGTCGACAATGTTCCAAAATAGAGTTCCGTTGTTGGTCACCATCAGCTAATTTTAGCATACCATATACTAGATGGGATCCATTAGGTTGAAGCATTTTCCAAAAACAAAAATAAATTTTAATAATAATGATTTTGATCACACGTATTATTTCATGAATTTATTGAAAAAAATACAAAAAAATAAAATTAAACCTTATAGTTTATAAATCCTTTTTACTTCTGACATGGAGAAACATATATCAAAAAAAAAAAAAAGAAAATCTTAAATTGATATAATTACAAGAAAAATCATCGTAGAGTGTAAAAAAAGGGTTGATGAATTAATTTATTCTTATATAATAGAGTAATTATTCAATATATCTTTATGTTTTTAATTAAATTAATTTTATTTTTAAATATATATTAATTGTATAATCTTTTTTTCAAGATTTTTAAATTAAATTATCAAAATTAGTCATATGATTTTCATATGAAAACATTCTATTAGACTAGTTTATAAAGATAAAAAATGAAAGAAAACCAGAAAATTTCTCAAAAAAATTAACTATCAATATTTGTTCTATTTGTGTACTTTGAAGAGCAGAATAGATACAAATAAAAAAGAAATCTATATCTATAAAAAATAACAAAAATATTTTTACTAATTAATTTTTTTTCCCCCTTTGTATCTATCTCGTTTATAAGTTACGCATTGATAATTATTCTTTAACTAGCATGAAGAAAACCATTCAGCGAAGGAAAGGAAGGAAAGCGACATTTATCACAATCATTTTTTCCCCTTTCTAACGGCGAGTTGTTCTGAAAAAGCACATGTAATTAAAATGTTTAGGACAAAATCACACATAGTTCATCAAGTTTCAATATTTAGTCCAATCAGCATCTCTACTTTATCTTTTGCCAATATCCTCCTACTCTAACTCCACATTGTCGACAATAAGTCTTGATCCGCAGTGATAATGAGTATTGCTAAACAGTAAATGAATAATAATGCATCTAGTTTTTTTTTTTGGTAATTATATGTTTTCCCATACACTTTATATAAATTAATTTATTTTTGCAGCTTTCAAATTGAAAATATTAGACTTGTCATTTTAATTTTCTATTTAAAATTAGATCACATTGATTGATAGATTCATATTTTTGCTATTTTTAAATAAAAATAATTGATTTATTTTAATCATAACAAATGATTATTTTGACTAAATATACAATATAGGTTTCGTATGTATGATATATAAGTTGATTTATTTTTAATGTTTTTTGAGTTGAAAATATAAGACTCGAGATCTTAATCCTACACTTGGGTTTAGATTGAAGGTTGGTGAATTCATTTTTTTCCCCCTATCTTTAAATTGAAAGGATTGGTCTGCCTCAATTTAGAGTACAGGATTAATTTGATTAAATTTGAAAAGATAGGGACCATACATGATTTCTACCTCATATATCAATAAATGAAATTTTGAAGCAGACTCCAAAAAATAGTCACATTAGTACCAAGAAATAGAAAACCCACCCTCTATTTATCCATTCCATTGAATAAAAAAACCTCATCTTTTATGTGATCTCTGTAAATTTTCTTTGATCACCATCTTCATTGCTAAAAATACCTCAAACCCAACAAAAGTTCTTGAGCTTGAGCACCCAAAGACTCCATCTTTCAATATTTAACTCAAATAGACTCTTTTTTTCCTAATAGAACGCTGAAACATGATTCAGCTTTTGTTTACAGTGATATTTTCAGAGATGGCAATGATATTGTTATTTCTTTTCAAGACCCCATTAAGGAAGTTGTTGATAATGGGCTTGGATCGAGTCAAGAGAGGGCGTGGACCAGTCATGGTTAAGACAGTTGCCGGGACAGTATTTGTGGTTTTAATGTCAAGTGTTTATAGTATGGTGAAGATCCGGAAACGCGGGATCGATGATGGTGGTGTTGTTAATCCGACAGACCAGGTTCTTATGGCCAAACATCTTCTTGAGGCTACTCTTATGGGTAATAATTCTTGGTTTATTGAGTTATGTTTGTGTCATGTTTTTTTGTTTTGTTAAAGTTATGAGCTTTGTGGGGTTAATGTAATACGATTGAATGTGTGTCGAAGATTTGATTTTTATTAAGATGTTTGCGATTGTTTTTGTGGGGTGATGCTTTCACTGTTTTATTCATGATTTGAAGAAAGAAATGGCTATTTCATTTGGGATTGGAGATGCTTAGATCCATTGTTAATGCTGAAGAATGATATCTAAATTAGAGATGTGTGCTTTAGTTTTGATTGTGAAATTGAGTGTTTTTTTTTTTTTTTTTAATGATGTGATGAAACGAGGCATTTGATTTGAAACTATTTATTGAGTAGCTTTTTAAGGATTTGGAAAGATAGGATTGTATCATCCATCACTATGGAAGATGGATCATCAAGCGTTTAGTGCTGCGGAAGAAAAAAATATATTTTGAGTTGCACATCTCCAATTTCTGAATTTTGATTGACCTTGAGCAAAGAGTCCAAATATCATGTTTTTCATTGTTAGATCAAGGTAGGATTTTGGATTTGGACATCTTTGGTCATGATTTTAGGAGAGTGTCAACTAGGTGATTCTTTCTTTTTTGTTGCGTTGAAGCTCTTGAAGTGTGATACTTATATGATGTTAGAAAATCATTTCAAATGGCATCAATGCCTTCACATGTTGTCCTTCTTTTCCAATTTTAAGATGATTTAACTCTGCCTTGATGCTTGGTAATGCCATTAGACGCGAACAGATGTGCCGTTTTTTTGAATAACAAAATGAAAAAAGCCTTGACTAGGAAACTTTAAGTCAAGAGCAATACATGCTGTGATTTTTCTCTTGTACCGCACTACTATGTAGGGAAAGCAATGATAGCCTACTTTCCTATGCATGTGCATGCCCTGCAGACTATCCTTACCTTAAGATGTCGAACTCATAGCATCCTGTAGCATACATTTGCAAAAGTACTTCCAAATATGGCATTTTTCTTTACCGATGAAGTTCTCTTCAGCTGTATGGAGATTTTTTTTTCCTGTTATATATGTGCTCTTGTCTATTTGTACATTGATTATGGTTATAAACTCAAATAACAATGAGGTGAAGATGGATTGTATAACTTCCAAATATTTATTTTTCATTTCAGAATGCTATACAACAACGCCGTGGTCGTAATAAGATTCAACATGCTGTTTTCAAGCATTTGTTTTTCATTTTAGAATGCTGTGCAAGATCTCATTCGTAATAAGATTCTATATGCTGTTTTTCAAACATGTTTTTCATTTCAGAATGCTCTGAAACTTCAAATGCTGAGCAACACCTTGGTCATAATCAGATTTTGTAACTTTACAGCTTTGGCTGGTGGCATAATATTTGAAAATATGTACTTGTTTCCCTCCTCTAATTCTTCTCTCACCATTTAGTAAAATTGTGCAAAAGAAACCTTGTTCCACAAGATGTCATGTTTACTGTAAAGAACTTCTGCAGTTCCCTGTTTGTTTGCTGTGCCTCCAGAATGACTATCACCTCTATTTAAATACCTTCTATGCTATGATATGCTATCTATTTCTCGCATTTTTTGGAATAGCTCTCCAGTAAACCTATTCATGAATCTTCTAGAACATAGTGTTGGAAACCGTATTACTTTAACCAATGTATGTAGGGAATGGTGTTAAGTTCTTGCTTTTGTGGCATATATCATCTTTTCTGGGAAGCACTTTTAAATGTGAGAGTTTTGTCTTTTACTAAATCTTTTGAAATTCTTTTTAATTCTTGAGTTGAATGACTAGGCTATTTATCTTTGCAAATTCTGTTTTTCAAGACCTTATTGGCTTCTCAACGTATACAAACTTGTAACTGTTTGCAGGTTCTGTCCATTTCCTTGCACTAATGATAGACCGACTTGTAACTATTTGCAGGTTCTGTCCTTTTCCTTGCACTAATGATAGACCGACTGCACCATTATATCAGAGAGCTCCGTATGCGGAGGAAGAGCATGGAGGCTGTAAAGAAACAAAATCGAAGTTTTGAGGAGGGCAAGGTTGAGGAGACCAAAGCATTGGAAGCAGAAGTGTCCACACTGCGAGAAAAACTTAAACAGCTGGAATCTGAACTTGAAGTCAAGTCAAAAGAGGTAAATACATCAGAAGCCAATGCAGTTGCTCTAAGGAAGCAATCTGAAGGTTTCCTTTTTGAGTATGATCGTTTGCTTGAAGAGAACCAGAACCTACGAAGCCAGTTGCAGTCTGTGGACTTTAGAGTTTCACGATCAACTAGCAAGAAGAATACTTGAGGAGCTGAGCCCCACTTGTTAAATAGTATTTTCATCCTCCTCTCAGTTTCTTTTTTGTTTTTCCTTACTATTACTGGGGGCTTCCATGGTGAGTTTGTTAGTTAGGGTTGAATTGCCTTCTATTCATTGCTGTAAGTGTGGAGAAAGGCAAACCGAAAAGCAGAGAAAGGGAGGTTAAACATAGGTTCTAATTTTGTGTTTAGTTCAGTTCAGTTCAATTCAAATGTAGAGCTTAACGCCGAAAGCAAATGGATATTGTTTTCCAGCACAAACTCTTTACATAGGTTGGTGCAATAGAGAACATATACTGCTGATCTTCTCTTCTTTCTGAACATAAATGGTCCGGGTGTTTCGGACTAACATTTTTTAGATTAGAGATGGAGAAAAACTCAAACTAGAGCTCTCGCCTCTCTTACTTCGCAAAAATACAAACTTTGATTTGAATGTAACTTACCAGAGACATGAAGAGGAACGAAGAGAGAAAGAACAGCATCTTTGATGCAGTATCAAAAGCTCCGGAAATGGAGTTCCAAGCTAAACTTGCCATGCTTGGTGCAGCAAAGAACAATTTGTTTTTGTTTGATTGTTTGTTTGTTTGTTTTCCTAAGTATTTGTGTATTATTTCGACTTCAAAAGGCTATTCAGTCATATTTAATCTGTGTTGAATATGTAGCTTCTTCCTATCATGATTTTTCTCCTGTAGCACTTGCATGTGCCACCTTTTCATGCTTGGTAAAAGCATTGTAACAATCCTTTTAGACTTAGTTTTAAATTATATATGCAGTTAAAAAAAAAAAGGCTTATTGTGCTGTTAAAATAATAATCCTGAAAATCATTTTCGTAAATACACTGGTTGTTGTTAATAAGTTTATTCTAATTTGTATTTTTTTAATAATTTTATTAATTGAACCTACTAATAACATTATATTTTTAATTTTGGTAAAAAAATTAATAATAATAAGTTGACACATGTCGTAATTCTATGAGATTTAATACCAATAGTCTAAAATATAAATGAAAAAACATAATTAAGACATAAATCAAGACAAAAAAAGAATACGAAATCAAGAGTCAAAGAGATTCTTGCAACTATTAAATCTTTCTGTTTTTTTTTTATAGCTTTTAATTTAATTTAAATATAAATAAAAAATCGATGCTTATTTAATTTAAAAATAATGAATTTAATTTCGATTCAAATGAAATTCAAATATATATTTGCGTGGACGAGTTGAGTTTGGGTGGGTTATCAATGCTAACCCAAGCCCATAAAAAGTCCAATTTTAATAACCCAAAGAAACACGTACGTTAATCAACATCTTGCTCTGTCTGGCCTGTGATTACTTTGCCTTCGTGCTTGAGAAAAGAAAGGAGGTTAGTTTCTCAAATTTTTGCTTCTTCAAAATAACTATCCCTCTTCTTTGTCAACTATTTTGTTAGCATGGCTTCTTTTGGCTACATTGTTGAATATGGTCGTTGAGGTTGCTCGTAACAGAACGTGTTCTGTTAACAGAACGTGTTCGATAAAATGCTTCTGAGAGTGGTATTTTCTAATATTTAATACTGAACATGGAGAAGGTTGTGAACTGATTACTAAGTTTAAGATTTTGCATCATCATGCTTGTTCCTTGATGGGTTCTTAAGGTTTGATCGCAATTCATTGTTTTCTTTTGATTTGTCACTGTTTCATGAATTGCTTGAGTTCTAACTTTAGTGAGTAGTTTATAATTTGGCTTCTTTGATGTCTTTTATAGTTGAAGTTGTGGTGTTTTGGTTTGAAGTCAATCTACACTTGCAATTAGGTAATATCCTGTGGTGAAGTCATAGTCTTTCTCTCTCAGAAAGATCCTGACAGGGTTCTATTCACTCCATAGAGTACAAAGATGCAGATACAATATATCAAGAATTCAACTCTGAGACTCACCACTCTCAGTCGCCTCCAGTTTTATGTAAGTTACTTTTACATCCGGATATTATAGCCTTGGTCGGGGTTCTTCATTTTTAACTTTTGTGTTGGCGCGTGGGTGGTGATTGGCAGAGAGAGATGCATAGTAGAAATAAGAAGGCAATGGAGTTCATAGCAAAAGGATGGAGTGCTGTGAAGGAAGTGGATAGAGTCATCGATTACTGCGAACTCAATGATAAACGCCTTATCCCTCTCCTCAGAGTATGCCTTTTTAAAAAAAATAAATTTTGGTTATCAAAAGTAGTGAAAATCTTTAAAATGCTCATTTGGATTTTGTCTTAGTGTTGTTTTTATTTTTTGGGGTTTGACATTAGACCGCAAAGGAGAATTTCGAGCTTGCTTTGGAGGCTGACAACTCAAATACCCATGCTCGGTTTTGGTTGTCCAAATTGCATATGAAGTACCATGTTCCTGGAGCATGTAAAGCTGTGTAAGTTCATTTTTACTCTTCTTTTTCTTAGTTTGGTGTGCCTGCAGTCATGGTCTTAAATGTAAGCTTGTTTACTGCACTAGTGTGTCAAGACAACTTGTGAGTCTGGATTAGCTGAGTTCAAGATTTGATATGTTATCTTTTCAGTTTTGTTATATCCCTTGGATGATATTTTAATCCCCTAATTTCTGGGTCTAATCAAGAATTTTTTTTATTTTTTTATACTCTATAATAATCATGACTTTGCTCATTCCTTGTTTCTGTGAGGTTGAGCATTCAACATTTCCATGAATATTGTCCCTCTTATTTCCATATTGACATCTGCATGTGTCACATTTTGACTCACAGTATGTTTGGGTACCTTTTATTTGCATTACTGATGCTGTTTTTCTTTTTTCTTTTTTTTTGTCATGAAATAGAGGAGCTGCTTTATTAGTGGAAGCTGCGGAAATGGGAGATCCAGAAGCACAATATGAATTAGGTTGCCGTCTAAGAGTTGAGGTTAGGCTTAGTATGTTCATACTGATACTATTGCTATAGACTGGTTTTATGTGAAAATTTTGGCAAAAATTTATCAAGCTTCTATTCTGTTACGCTAGACTACAATCCTTGGAAAACAAAGAATTCAGGTTTTTTTTTTTTTTTTTTTTGGAAATATTGCATACAATTATTTTGATTGCCTTCAGCGTACAGAAATCATGTTCCCAATGATTATTTTAATTAACCTATGTATAAACTGAAGCCAATCTAAAGTTGTTTTAATAAGGCCTTGTACGGGTTTTAATCTTGATCTCCATGGTAAATGTTTTATTCTACATCTATTTCATTTCCTTCACTTAAAACTTCTAGCTTGATGAATTAATTTGAATTCATATTTATGAGCTTTCAGGCTTAATAGTTTAAATACCTGATATTACTATTGGTAGTCTGCATGATCTTGAGGTATCTAGATCCTGATAGCATTAGCTTGACAAAAGATTTTAAAGTAGCATTCGGCCCTCCCCTTGTGTATGAGAATTCCATTGTTTTGTGGTTGATCTATTAGTTCTAAATGTTACCTAATGTATCTTTAGTAATCTTCTCTGTTTTCTCTTTTTTATTTTTTTGGATAGAATGATTATGTCCAATCAGATCAACAAGCTTTTTATTATATAGAGAAGGCTGTCGACAAGGTATGTTTCACTTTGTTTTTTTTTTTTTTCATATAAAATGATTATTGATGAAGTTATATGTCTTGAGACCTTATTTGAGCTAGCTATATTCTAGTTACATCCAGGTGCTCTTTACCTTCTTGGTGCTGTATACTTGACGGGAGATTGTGTGAAAAAAGATATTTCGTCAGCTTTGTGGTGTTTCCATAGGGCATCAGAGAAGGTAATAAACAGGATTCTTTATGCTGACTAAATTGCACTAGTCGACTCTCTCTCTTTGCCTTTTTTTTTTTCCCTTTCCAGGTGGGGGTTAGGGTATATGTTTTCCAAACTTATTGAAGTCAAAACTAGTAGACTTATTCTAATGCAAGTTGGAAATGTTGGCATTAGGCTTTTTTTCGTACACTGTCTGTAGTTATCAAGATATCTTTCTCTATAGGACAGAGAGTAAGAATTAAAGGCAACCTTGCAGAGTTACTTGAGATAAATTCAACAATCAGGTTCTGTCCTGAAAAAAATCAAATCAGGTTGCTTCACTTGCGTTCTGATGTGTCTGGAAGTAGAACTTTCTAAGTAAGTAATTTGATGACCTTATGCATAGAGTTGAACTCCGCAGTTACAACTGGAAGACTCATGATTGCAGACTACATGTAATGTTGTAATAGAAAATGGTTCCTTTCATTGCTGATAAAAGGAAAATGGTAAGGCATAATTTCCGACTTATTCTAGAATATCGTTTGATTAACAACTCTGTGTGACGTCTCTTTACTGCTTTTATTTTATGTAGGGACATGTTGGTGCAGCTATAGCATATGGATCTCTCCTACTTAGAGGTGAGCTGTTCCAGGCTTCCAGCTCCTTTCCTTTTCCTTCTTTCCCTTCCCTTCATTGAAATTCAGAGGGATGATTTTCAGCTTTTTAGTGATGTCTTTGTTTTTCTTCCATTTCCATTACATAGTTAACATCCTATGTTATGAAGGGCATTTAATTGTAATTGAATTTTAACTAAATGACCTCTTATGGATATCATGTTGCACAAGCTGTCATTGTTAAAGTTGATAGAGATAAGTAAGTCCCTTGGTAGGTTCTAAGATCTTTGTCCATGGAGATGATTTAGATTAAAGGTTTTTTCATCTAAAAGATAATTAGAAATTCATCTACTTAGTCTTTTACTTGTGCAAAATGGAAAACACAAGTTATTAATTTTAATTTTGGGTTCCTTCTTGTTCCAGGTGCTCAAGTCCCAGAATCTCTAACGAAATTCTGTTCGAAGAGGAGTTCTTCTGCAAGAAAAGTGAAAAACACTGAAAGTACTGAGATGGATCCAGTAGAGAGAGCAAAGGCACAATTCCAGATTGCAGCAAAAGCAGGATCTGATCTTGGATTAAAGTGGCTGCAAAGACTTGACGAGGAAGAGAATCGTCTACTTGAGGAGAGTCGATCTAAGGAACCATCCTCCCAAAACTAAGTTGGTGTATCAAAGTGGTTGCAAAAGCTTCCGGAGGAAGAGAAACGTCAACTTAGTGAAAATTGATCTCTGGAAGCCAAATTGATGTGACTAAAATATATTTTGTCAGCTCCCCCATGATTCATGCTTGAGCTTTAACCCCCAACTTATGTTTCTAAACAAGTTTAGGAAACCCTGAAATGTTAAGGATCATGCTGCTAACCAATGTACTTGGTTTAGATTTCTGTGGAGTACAAGGAAAATGCCATTCAAGCGAGCAAAACATATGAAGCTTCTTGCTGATGAATATCAGTAGAATCCATTGGAAGAGTGGAAGACCATTCAATATGAATGCTGCAAAGGATGATGTGAATATTAAGGTAATTTGCCCAGTAAAATGCCCTTGTTGTCCTTTCAAACCCAATTCAAAATTGGAAATACTAAAATAATTTGATCCCTTTAAATCTAATAAGAAGAAAATTACATGTAAGAATATGAATTTGCATAGGTTTAATGATAATAGAAGCTCTTGTCGTATTATTTTTTGACAATTATAATCTTATGGTTTCAATTTGGTCCTTGTTGTCAGTTAATAAAAGTCCCTTCGTTCATGATAAATCTAATTTTTTTAAAAAAAACAAATGGACTGATATTTGAAAGAAAAAAATCTGTTAGTTTTTTTTTATTTACATTGGACTTTTTTATATCTTATTTTAAAAGCTAAAAAATGATTGATTAATTATTTATTTATTTATGCTGGATTTTTTTAATATAATTTTTTACAACGTTTTATCTTTTCTAGCTAATTTTATTAATTAATAATTCTCAATCTTTATACAAATCCCTGTCTTTTTTTTTCGTGTCAGAAAATTACTTAGAAAAAAGAATCTAATTGTGGTTGTGTGCATTTGTTTTGCATTATTAATCTTTAAGGAAAAGTTTACAAATGTAAAATTTAAAAACTGTCAAAAAGGCAATTTTGGTTCGTTTAATGATGACACTCATTTGGCTTTTTAATTTAATATAATTTAATTTCCTTTTTAAAATTAAAATTTCTTTAGTAATACGCAAAAAAAATTAAAAAAATTAAAAGTTCATATATTCAAATGGAAAGAGTAAAAAATAGAGACACTCAAGTAAAACAAATCTTAAAGTTCTCCAACGAAATATAAAATAATATCGTATATTTTTACGTCGGTGAAAGGCCACTTATGCCCCCAACAACTGCTTATCCCCACATGAGTCCTCTAACAAATGAGTTTTTCAATTGAGTCCCTCATTTAAATATGCGTCAATTAATTAATTATGGCTGCAAATGTAGTTTAGATTTGGTTGGTTGGTTAAATTCCAATTAGATTCATGGGATATTCAATTGATTTTTTTTTTTTAATTGGAAGATTGATGGGGTATTTATCATTTTTTTTCTACCGCTATTATTTTTTTTTAATCTGTCGTATTCATCTTAAATTGTTGTGACTGATCAATTTTATATGGATGAAAAAAAACGTTATGTAAGAAGAAATATGTAAATTATGAGTACTCATGTCTCTATGATATATATATATTTCACTATTTACATATAAATACATATTTCGCAAATTACACTCCATCCGTTATTCGAATTTGATCAAAGTTAACCCTTAATAATAAATTTGGTCAAATCCAACTCTTTAGTTCTAAAAAGAAAATTCCCATACAGGAGGAATTAATTAAGAAGATTTTTAAATGCTTTTCCTTCAATTTATTCAATGAAACTCTAAAAGAAGAGACGAATTTGAAAAATCATATTATTTACAAGGCAGAATCAGGAATTTTTTAGTGAATGTTAACGTGAAAGAATAAGCCTACCATGCAACATTGAATTTTCTCGTTGATTTCTTGGACAAGGCTGGTCTACAAGAATGTCATACAGCATCAGTAAAGAACAACTATGGTTGCAATAGACCTAGATTTGAATGTAACTTACCATAGACATGTAAAGAGCAACTATAGCAAGAAGAGCATCTTTGATGGAGTATCAAAAGCTCCAGAGATGGAGTTCTAAGCTAAACTTGCCATGCTTGGTGAAGCAAAGAACCAAAAAGATCAGGAACGTAGCCTTGCCCTTTATAAATTATACTAATTTCCATTGCAATTTGTGTCTGAAATGGAATATCGATGGCTCAGCTGTAGGGAAACCAAGAAGATCAGGACTTGGTGGTCTCTTATGGAATCATGACGGGAAGTTAATTTCTTTGCATTTCTTCTTCTCCTACAGGCATTAGACACTAGAGAGAGCCATCAAGTCTTGCTAATCAAATGGAGTGGACTTTTGAATGAGATTCAACAAATGTACTTGGCAGACAGAAACGACAGTGGTAGGGCTCGGAGAATATGCAAAATGCGTCTGACTCCATTGCGTCTTTACCCAAATCTTTAAAGTCAGCATTTTTTATACATATTTGTACGTAGAGAAGGCAATCATGTAGCCTGTTTTTTTAGCAAAACAGAGCTTTAGTTAAAAAAACAGAGTTCCTTTCACCTCTCTTACTTGGCAAGAATACAAAGTTTGATTTTATAATTATGATTTTTGTATGTACAATTGACTATGGCTTAACCTGAAGTTCTTGTTTTTGAACCTGAAGTTCTTGTTTTTGAATTACAGGAAAAATAAAAATTAAGTGCAGGGTCATTTCCGTGGAGAAACCTATCAAAGTTAAATGCGGTGAGCACCATCAAGCCAAGGAAAATCAGAATCGACAGTGCTGATAAGACAAGCATCAATCCTGATGCTATATGGCCTTTAATCTCTTTTGCATACTCAGCAGAAACGAGTGCCAAGAATGTTAGTGTGAAGGAATAAGCCCACCACGCAACATTGAATTTTCTCAGTGATTTCTTGAAAAGCGCTGGCCTACAAGCCTGTTACACAGCATATAGAAGATTTGTTAGATAAGAGCAAACTTTTCATCACACAGAACAAATATGGTTAGGTCTAGCAGTAAAAAGGTTGTCTTAGTTTGTTCAAAACTAAGGTTAAATTCTTATTGTTTATCTTTTAGTGGTATCAATCTTGGGCTGATTTAGCCTAAGAGGTAGTCCAGTAAAAACTAAACGTGTTCTAGTACTAACTTAGTCCAGAAAGTGGTAGACTTAATCTTGGTAAAGGCTAAATGTGTTTTAACGTTAGTTTAGTCCAGAAAATGATCGACTTAGTCTTTATTGATGTGAAAGGTAACCGAGAATACCTTAACACCTGTAAATATATCTTTTTAAAAGCTCTAGTTTTGAATGTAACTTACCAGAGACATGAAGAGGAACAGGGAAAGAAAGAACAGCATTATTTTAGTCCAGAAAGTGGTGGACTTAGTCTTGGTAAAAGCTAAACGTGTTCTAAAACTAGTTTAGTCCAGAAAGTGATCGACATAGTCTTTGTTGATGTGAAAGGTAGCCGAAAATACCCGAATACCTATATATATATATATATATATTTTTTAAAAAAGGTCTAGTTTTGAATGTAACTTACCAGAGACATGAAGAGGAACAGAGAAAGAAAGAACAGCATCTTTGACGCAGTATCAAATGCTCCTGAAATGGAGTTCCAAGCTAAACTTGCCATGCTTGGTGCAGCGAAGAACAAGAAGAATGCAGGCCTCAGAAGTGCAGGAAAGTTATTCCCACCCGATAAGCGTTGGTAAAGCGTGACAAAGAGTACCAAGTAATGCACCATGCCAAGAGAAAACATGCAGACTGCACTTTCTTTCCACCCCATCTGAGCTGCTGCTCTTGAAACCACCAAATTTCCTATTACCGATAGCTGGCTAGTCGGATTTGCAAGCGTGGATAGGAACTTCTTCTCTGTTGTAAACCACTGTCCATAGAGTTTTATATCAAGCATCACAACAGGAACAGCAAAGATGCAACAAAGAGAAAAATAGGGAACGATCTTTGAAACAGATATCGGCGACGATTGAAGCAACAGAAGCCATGAAATCCAAGGAGCGTACAAGTAGTTTACTCCTATGTAGTGCAAGAACTCTTCCTTCACCATGTTAAAGTGAAAGAAACATTTCAGAAGATAGATAAGAGAGAGGGAAATTTGTATCAAAAGAGCAAGGCACCATAGAAAAAGAAAAGCAGTTGAAGGAAGCACACGAAATACGTGCCAGACTTCTTGTGAACCATTATTGTTAGGCTCACTCAGGATCTTCCAAAGCAAAGCTTGTGCTCCAAAAGACAAGCTTATCCTGAAGTAGCCTGCATGGGTCCTAGTTAAAATGGTAGACTCTGATGGCTCGTCAACCTTAGGTTGGCAGCCGTTTTGTTCTTTCCTGGTGATGATGGAAGCATCAATTCTGATCTCAATTTCTGGCTTAACATCTGTAGCTTCCATATCTATTGGACGAAGTGGTCCTCAGTATAAGAACTCCTGCATTTCAGTGTCAGGCTATATGGGTGCTTATATAGGGAGAGAAATGGGGAAGAGACAAGACAAAATCAATAGGAAATTATGCATTAGGCGTTAAAGCCATCAGGCCCCATATTCTGTGGAGGACATAGTTTTGCTTGTTGACATAAGAAAAACTCCAACATCTGCTGAAAAGAACGTCTTTTACCAAAAACAAAACAATATGTTAAAATGGTAGTTTCCATGGCTTGGAATTATGACCAAAATTCATAAAACTAGTGGTTCGAGATATGAATAAATTGAAGCCTTACTGTTTTATCCCATATGCAAAATTGAAATTTTGGTGCTGTCTGTTCTTTCTTTTGTAAGAATCTTCCTTCTAGACCAGCATAGGAGTTCAAAGATATTGTACAAAAATAAAAAAAACCAAAAATGAAATGACTGAATGAATCTGAAAATTCCATGGCTGAAATCCATAGATCAAAATAACTTTTGGAATCAAATACAGTCTGTTCTCCTAAAATAAGTACTAGTAGACACCATAACAAGGCCTATTTTAGATAGAGTGAAGATATTTCGGTATGTAGATTTTTAGATCTGTTACCGAAAATGTAATATTTGTTATTGGCTGAAAATAAAAAGTCTAAGTAATATGTTTTTATTGTTTTTTGTTCATGTAGGGAATTCATAATAATAATAATAAGCCTATTATACCCTTATAGCTTAAATTCTATAAGATCCAATGATAAAATTAACCTCATAAAAATAAAAAATAAAACCACTTGGTAAGATAATAGATCTACCAACAAATTAAATAACATATATTATCATATATTAATTATTAATAATTATGATAATATAATAAAATCAATAAAATATATATTAGTTGTTGAAATAAGTTATAATTAAGCTTACAACAACAAAAAAATTGTATTATTATTGGTAATTCCACTTAAAATAACAAATAAGGGCAATCAAGTATTAAAAAAAAAAATGCAATCATTAGCTAGGTAGCGTTAGATTCCTCTCATTTTAGATGGGAATCGTATTCTCTGGTTTTGAGAGAATGTGATGTTCAAAAAATATTAAATTCCTTGACGTTTTAACATTTCCTAGCAAAACAAGCATGAGTATCTTTAACATTCAAGGTGTCTAGGTGGAGGGAATTTGAGATTCCTCCATACCAAACGCCTCCTTATTTACTTACCATAATAACATTAAAAGTAAATTTAATTAATTATCATAAAAATTATTTTAATCCAAAAATTTAAGTTGCAATTTGTATATACCCACTACTTTCTTACTTATTTTTAATTTAATTAGAAGAAAATTAAATTTATTTATCACTGTTAAAGCATCATAACTTGCAATTTGCACCATTAAACCGTTATTTTGTGCTTAAATTTTAATTTAATTAAAAAAATAAGATTTATAACTATTTGATCAATTCTAATATCATATTAAAAAAATTATTTTAAATTTAAAAATTTAAACTGTTATATAAAAATTTAAAATATAATTTATATTATTTTATAACGAGCAACCAAACCAGAGCAGAGAGCTTTTTTAGGGTGGTACGTACCAAATAACAATTTTGGCATTGAATAAACACCTGCCAATGGCTAAACAGAATAGTATAATTAAAAGGGTGTCTTTTACGTGTAATCTGCGTTGGAACCTTGAAGATGAGTGGGAAAGAGAAAGAGTTGATAAAAATGTTAATGGATATAGGGTGCTAACTAAGTATAAATTACTACACAAAATGGGAATCCCCATAAAGAATGGTACGTATTATCCCTATTGCAGGAGCTGCAGCTGACTATGAAAAAGGTCTCTTGCTTTATCTATGCATTTCCTAACTTCCAAGTCTTCCTGATTATGGAGTCCACTTCATGCTTTTAACGTTTCTAATTCAATATTCACAACTGGGATATCTCCAAGTAAAAAGCTTATAGCTGATCTTTCTGGTTTCGAGAGGCCGGTTTACAGAAATTGATGAAAGAAGAAGTATAGAAGCAATAACACCTAAAAGCTACTTCTCTTTTAATAAACCCTAACATTTATGTATATATACCTCCAATTTAGGTTGACGATGATCATGAAATATGCTAATTGTTAAGTGTCTTATTTTCATTAGTTAGTAAATCAAGTTCTCATGCATTCAAGGTTCGAACTCAAAAAAGAGGCCAAGAGAAAGGGAAAAAAAAAATAGTAAATGCATCAGTTTAGATGCAAATAGCATATTTGAAACCTTTTTCGATGAAAAAAATGGACCGTTTCTCAAAAGAATCATACTAATCCTCTCTATATTGTTTCAATTTTATTGGATGTCTTCGAAGGGATAGTGTATTTGAAACCTAAAAAGATATTTAACGTCAAAAATATGAAAATCAGCTATAGGATGTCCCAACAATTAAGACGAGGAAAAATTGGTGCATGAAACAAGTTTCCACCATATTATGATATCATAGCATGCATGTGGTTTGTGCTGGATAAGGTTTTATGATTGGCTTTCTTTGCACGAGCACCACTTAAATATCGTCATGTTTATCATTCCATTTCTATATTTCTGACTTTTGAAGGACTAATGGTTAATGACTAAGACCAAGCTAGATGGTCATCAACAAAATGAGCATAATAAGATAGGGAAAGTTAGGGATCGAGTAGAGATTAATCAATGTCATGTCCTTCCAAGTAGCAAGCATGCTTACAGGATGTTTAGAAATAAAATGTAGGACTATAAAGTTAGATAATTGTATTTGGGTTTCATCCAAAAAAACTTAAGTTTTATGGTAGGTAGTCCTCCTTCTCAACTTTATATAACGAGTCCTCCTCACTTGCAACTTATCTTTGAAAGTCCGTTAAGTAGCTTGAGTTTTAAGATTTTTTGCCAAATTGTTAGATCTCTTTGATATGGATTAGATAATTGAGATTGAGTTTCATTTAAAAAACTTAAATTTTATAGTGGATGATATCTTCTCAATTTTATATATTACTAATCTTTGATTTAACTATTCAATGTAGAATATATTATTTAACACGTTTCTCACTTGCAGTCCATCTTTTGAGGTCCGTCAAGTGGCTTAAGCTCCAATTTCTTTTGCTAGACCATTAGGCCTATTTGATATAAAATTAGATAGTTGGATTTGAGTTTCATCTAAAAGATTTAAATCTTATTATGAGTAACGTCTTCTCAATTTTATATATTACTGCAAGTGAGGGGAAATGTTCCAACATCTTTTGTAAGACCGTTGGGTCTTTTTGATATAAAGTTAAATAGTTGAGATTAAGTTTCATCTAAAAAACTAAAACTTTATGGTAGGTGACATCTTCTCAACTCTATATATCACTTATGTTTAGTTTAATTATTCAATGTAGGGTATATTCTCTAATACTACTCATCTCACTTGTAGTCCATCTTTTGAAGTCCGTCAAGTGGTCCGAGTTCTAGGATCTTTGTTGGGTCGTCGGATCTCTTTGAAGCTCTAATACTATATAGAGTTAGATAATTGAAATTGAATTCTATTTAAAAAAAAAAAATCTAATTCTTATGATGGTGAATTCTTCTTAATTTTATATATTTTCATCTTTGATTTAACTACTTAATGTAGGATATATTCTCTAACAATAGCGTCTCCAAGCAATAAATTTTATTTTTTCCAAGATTTCACATTTAAGGGCACGACTAATACTATCTAACTGGAAATTGGTAAAGGAAAATGCTTCCAAGTGTTAAACACCAAAAATTTATCTTCACCATACAAAGATTTTTATTGGTTAAGAACAAGAGATCAAATTAAAGAAAGAAAGAGAGGTAGCTAGCTATCTTTTCATGGTGGGCTGTGACAAATGACAATGGTGTTTGCAATTTGCTGATGGGAAAGAGATCATTCAAATGGGACCTATATTATATATGTATTTAAAGAAATGGGAAGTGCTATAGTTCTATATCTTCGTCTGCTAGGACACAATTGCTGCATGCTTTAAGCAAAGATATAATTTATTGATAGAATAGCCACTCTAAAACTATAGTGGTAAATGAAGTAGTGTGAATTAGGTATTAGGTTATCATAGAAATTTCTTGCCTAAAAAACAAACCTAAATAAAATAATAATGCCTGATGCAAGCAGATAGATAAAGTGGGACCATTGTAGAATGACCTCAATCAGATGCTTAGCTAGCATGCGTTAATGGAAACCGGAGATCTGTCCACCAAAACAGCTTTGGACTTTGGATAGAACTTGCAAGTTTCTTACCTCAAAGTCATGTCCAAGTTCATTTAACCTTGTTAATCACTTAAAGCTTAAATGGATTAAATATCCCTGAATTTTAATCTATTTAAAAGTTAGTTTTTGACTTCTAATTTCGAATTTAACCTTTCCTAAACTTTATTATTTTATTTTTTAGATTTATTATGTCCTATAGTTTTCTACAAAAAAAAAAAAAAATGATGGTCAGATGAAAAGCCTCACAATAGAAATTAAATAGCAAGATTTATCTAGAATTCTCTAAAAAAAATTTAAGATTATTTCGAATTATTTTATATTTTCCCAATTTTCTACATGCTTAATGTTTAATATATATATATATATATATATTCTGACTTTGAAAAATTATGAGATTTTTTCTAAAAATAGATTAATTTTTTTCAATATGTGAGCAAAATATCATCTTAAAATAATAAGAATTGAACTTTTTTAAAGACAAAGTGATAGCTGAAAATCATAGAATTGACTAAATTTTATTTAAAAAAATTAGAGAAATTTAAATTCGAAATTAGAAATTTAGGAACTAATTTGTAAATAAAATAAACTTCAGAAAAGGTTTGGTACATTTAGCCCTTACTTAATTACTTCCCTCAAAAGATCATTATTACATTATTCATATTACATCACTTAATTACTTCCCTCGAAACGTTATTGTTATTACATGAATCATGTTACATTCTTTCAGGTTACTTTTATGGTCAACTTCTGCATATTATAATTAAATTCCATTAGAATTAAGTTAGACCATATCTATGTCGTCATTGAGTTATAGTTAAATTAGTATCATTATCCCTTTTTTTTTTTTTTTTTTTTTGGATCTCGAGTAATCTCTCATTTGTAATTTTTTTAAAAAAATTATGCTTAGTTAAATACATTTATAAAAAATATTTCATGCAATGTCTTTAAATTTGTGACCATAATTTTTGGATCTCAAGTAGTCTCTCATTTGTAATTTAAATACATACATATATATATATATATATATATATATATGCCTAATTAAATACATTTATAAAAAAAAAAATTCATGCAATGTCTTTAAATTTGTGACCATGATTTTGATTCGAAGATGCAATTGTAAAAAAAGTCGTGATCGTGATCGTGAATATGATTTATGACAATTGTAAAATAATGGTCATATATGTTTTACCACAATAATAAAATAATGATTACGACAACCGATATTGTAAATGCATTATCAACTCGTTGATAAGTTTATTCTATAATAAAAAATTAAAAGGTTTTTTTTTACATAATATAACCGCCGTTATTCATCAAATAACGACAATAACAATTATTACCATTATATAATGTCGTTATTATCGTCATTTGAGTTAAATATTGCTGGAATCTTCGTAATGTCTTTTAATAAATACGGACAAACTCAAATTCGTAAAATAACAATAATTATATTATGTAATTAGGGCCGTTGTTGGAACTATGTTTGTTACCATACCTTAAGAAACTAATTTAGTTACCATTTAAACGAACATCTAAAAAGTTATTCCGATTAAATCACTTCATTACACTTTATAACTTCTCCAATTATCACTTGAACATTTCTGTAAATCAAATCTATGACATTGCAGAACAGATACTATATAGTATTCACTAACAGTTTATAATAGTGATATAATCCATGGTACAAATCAATCAAATTATTTTGACTCACATGGACTTAATTGGTTGAATAAGTTTTTAGTTTGAAGCCATGCCTCACAAGCGACAATATATAGGCAGACTGTGGATTGGAGATTGGAGGATGTTGTTTAGTGGGCCTAATAACACAATTGTTAGATTAAGATTTGGTCCAATGGGTATCTTATGTCTAGTCAGGAGCCTGATTGATTAGTTTGGGCCTAATCTAATGGGCCAAACCATGTATGGCCCATTTCAATCAATGTTTATGACCAGATATGTATATTTAAGGCCTGCAAAATATGAAGATATGCCATGTACGTAGAAAACAGAACTTTATTCCCTTCATAAAATTTGAATTGCCACACAAAAAATCTTTTCTACATTCACAAGGCATCAAGAATATTTTATGCCTACTGTCATCACTACAGCTAGTGTTACATGTATTATTCCCACTAATGCCTGTGGGTTCAACGAGAACGACAAAGTTATATTCCATACTAACCCAAGCTATCTCTGCCCCACTATGACCAATGAATCCATCAGCATATGCTAAGTTATAATCCTCACTACAAGAAACCGTTTCTTGTTCTTTGCTACCGTTATTGCTTCGTACTGTGACCCAAGTATCATCCCATGACCAAGTGGGTACTTTTCCATTGCCAGAAGTCAATTGCTTGATTCTTTCAAGTGGAGAGATCGAAGGACTATTATGGGTCAAATCCCAAGTTGTCTCTGACTCCTCTATGGAGTCCCATAAGACATGATCCAAAACACATGTTGGAGTGTCCACGTTAGAGCTATTAGTGATAAAATTTGGCTCAATATCGATAAAAAAATCATGCTGAAGCAATTCGCTGGCTGACCACCTTTCCTTTGGGTCCCTCTTCAAGCACTTGCTTAAAAAGTCCTTAGCTTGCTTAGACATGAAGCTTGGAATCTCTGGCATGTTGCCTGAAAACCCAATTTGGTAAAGAGCTGAGACTGGATCTGAGACATTCACCCATGGAGCTTGTCCGGTGGCCATCTCGACAACAGTGCACCCAACAGCCCAGATATCAGCAGGGAAACCTTGGTGTTCACCACGCGCCACCTCAGGTGCCATGTAAAGTGGAGTGCCTGCTATTGACGATGTCGTTGCCCAATCAGCACCCGACACCTTATCCACGCGTTTAGCACAGCCCAAATCAGCAATTTTTGCCCCATCACTAGTGACCAAAATATTTTGACCCTTAATGTCGCAATGCACTATACCATTACAATGAAGATAATCAAGACCAAGCAAGATTGTCCGAGCATATAATCGAATCATAGCCTCGTTGAGACAGCCTCCACCGTCCCGAATTGCATCGATAAGCGTGCCGCCGGATACATATTCCAAGAAAAGATTGTAGAAGACCTTACCATTTTCATTAGTAATGTCACACCCCTTGTATGCTACAACTTGCGGACACATTAACGTTGAAAGAATACCTTGCTCGTTGCGGAGAGACTCGGATTGCAATAGCTCAGCTGACTTAACCGCAAAGACTTGACCGGATCGGTTGGCCTTAGCCATCGAGACGGTGGCCGAGGAGCCACGACCAACGGTTCGCCCTCTAGACCAGTCCATTTTGGAGAGAATGGTGGCCTGGGGTGCCAAAAATTTAAAGAATGTGTATTATGGTGAGTTGTTTGCTATGGTAGCTAGCTATTGCAAAGTTTATTTATATATAGAGCACATACGCAAATAGTTATGCCGTTGGTTTGGTATATGTTTGGCTTTAATGCAAGAAACATTGCTTTCTTTCTTTTTTCTAACTTTATTTTTATCATTTTTGCAGCCAATGGGCGGCCGCCGTTACTTTCTCTCTCTAAACGAAAGACTTCCACATGTCGAAAAAAGGATGGTTTCAAAGCTTTGGCCGGCTTCGAAGACCAATTGCTTAATGCTAACGCTGAGCTTAGCTTAGCTATGACTTATGCTTTGCTCACGAGATACCACGTGAGCATGTGCATGATTTGTGGTGACATCTTTGTTAATAAGTGAGAGATCACGCAATGTATGGTATAATTGTATGGATATTCCATACTTTAAAGAGGTTAATTAGTGGATAAAGGTTAGTTGTTAAGGGTAGATTAAGTTTAATTAATCTCCTTTATTGGTAATTGACTTTGGGAAGTCTCTTTAATGGTAATAGACAATGTAAAGGTAAACTTCTAATAATGCCGCCACGATCATACTGATACCTTGAACCTAGCTAGGTATACCAAGTTGGGTTTGCCATTAATTTGCAGTAAAAGTCAATTAGGGTTTTGCTAATAATAACTATCCCCTCATTCATGGATTATGTTAATTTGGTCAAGGAATATTCTTCAAGCTAGCAATTTTTGACTAAATTATGTAGCATGTGTAGGAGTGAAATGGTGAGACCCCAAGGGTACTATTATTGGATCAAAATGGTTGCTAGCTGTTGAAAATTAATGGTTAAATCCATTGTTTACATCATGTAAATGTTTTTAATAATTCGTCAATAAAAGTAAATAATTGGCGTCAATTAAAAATAGAACTACTTAATATATAGTAACGATGAGATGAGTGATGATAATATTTATAGCAATGAAATAAAAATTAATGGTAATGAATTATATGGTGAGTAAGAGAACTCAATTGATCGTCATAAATTTTAAATTTTTAAAAAATTATAATTGAAATTAAAAATATACATGTTTAATTTATTGAATGAATAATAAAGGGATTTTCTTGACGAATTTGGTGGAAATATTGGTTTAACCGAAATTATTAGAATTTCACAATTTAATAACTCAAGGGTGAATTATTGTAGATTGTCAAAATCATGTTGGGAACTTCCATAACAATCAGAAGTGCATTATTACATGAGTAGATCCTTAAAAAAATGGCATGTCAAATTGCATGTGGGCATTTTCTACAATTATTTTTCCTTATTAAAAAATACTAATTAGAAATTTTTCAAAAAGGTTTATATGTGCTAATTTTAAGCCAACGTACAAAAATTTATAATAGACATGACATTTTCAGCTTTATATATATATATATATAAAAGCCATGCCCATGATCGGATGCTTCTTTGTTTTCACCCAAAAACAGCATAGAAAAACCTCAAATTGTGAGAATTGTTAGCTAGATCCATCAAGGTTAATTGCCATTCTATTCCTATTATAACCATTTTTGTATATGCCAAAAAAGAAAAAAAAAATTGCTTGCTATGCTCATAAGTAATTTTAGATTTTTAAATTTTTTACCCACATGCATGTCATAATTATTTGAAATCATTCGGCAATTTGAATGAGTGACCTAAACCAACATAGCCTTAGATTTCAGTGCCGTTGATCAGAGACCAGCTAGAAAGAGCCAAACCTACAACTCTAAAAGAAGCAAGTGGTTGCTTTCCTTGCTTAGCATTATAGGTGAAGTATACAAGAACAATTAATGAGGCAATTGTACAAGGCACCTAAAAGGGCAAATGCATTGCAACTAATTCCAAGAAAAGCCAAGAATCTGACTGAACCAGTCCAAACACTTGGAAATTTAGTTGTAAAAGCAACGTAGTCTCCCTCCAACTCACATTCATACACCAACCCTTCATTCCTCTTTACACCCTCTCACTCTTAATTGCTAGTTGGCTATGGTATTTGCTCTTTAAAGGGTCACCTTTTGAGCTGAATTTTGGTGGCTTTGTGACAGTTTTTGCTTTGTGCTATCTGATGGTATCTGTCCTACGTTCTTTTCAAGTAACACAAACCATTTCGTTGCTTTCTTCATGTGCCAACCACCAGTCTCTTGGCAGCTCTTATGTTTTGGCTTTCGGTTAAAGGTTTGGGACCCATTTTTCTCAGCAGATCAAGCTCTCAGTGCATTGAATGGATAATTGGTGTAAAGTTACATAAAGTCGAGTAAAAGATCCTTACTCAGCAAGGATGCATTTGAATTTCTTGAAGAAACATTGTAACTGTTCAGGTTGATGGCATGTTTTGGACTCTTCCTGGCCGCTACTAATTCGAACCACTTCCACACTTGAAACTGACGTAAAATTCTGATTGCTTTCCTTCCCATACAAGAAATTAAAAAATAATTGTGTGAATTCAACATCATATATATGTAATTTTTATATGCATAAAGGACTATATTTTCTCTAGGATTTATTTCCTAGATCAATAGTTAGGAGAGTCCTGAATATACACCGATATTAGTGAAATAGTATATATAAAGAATCTATTAAACTCAAATTTAATGATTTATTAATGCAATATTATAATATCTCAATTTATTTTTATATAATTTCATGAGTTTTTCATATGTTCTTAATTTTCTAATTACATCTCATTTATGTTTAATTTTTTTTAAATATTTAATCTATTTTTTTTAATCAATTTTTCAAAGTATAAATAAATTTTTTAATCGAAATATCCTTTACTTAAATGAAAAAAAAAATTAAAGTCCTATGATTTGCATATTCTATTTTAAAGTCATTAAAATTTTTATTTTATTTTATTTTTTATTTTTATTTTTATTTGCATTTCTCTCATATGCATTTTGATAAAAAAAAAAAAATTCTTTCATGGTCGAAAAAATTTGATCGAAAAATAGATTAAAATATTTAAAATATTTAAAAACAAATAAAATGCAATTAAAAATATAAAAATAAATTAAACTATATATATATATATATATATTATTGATTGTTGTACTTACTAATTGTTACTGTTTAAAATGATATTTTTTACTGTTTAAGAAGATATTTTTATGGATAAGAGATTGGATGGAACATGACAAAATCGTACCAGTGAACAAATGGCATAAAAATCAGGTTATTTTACGGCTTAAAAGCAACGAAACATTATTCCAATGAAGTTATCACATCTTGTCTGATTCTATGTATCGGGTACTATGTATCATGTGTTGTAAGAAAATATTTTGACAGCTCAACTTGATGCCCATTGGCCACTCAAATATTGGTGAATCAAAATGGGCTAATAGAATGGTAGTTAACATTGTTTGCAAGTGGTTACCAACTGTAATAGTAAAGAGATGACAAAGTTTGCCAGGCCGGCGGCCGGTAACATTACATGATTTTTTTGGTGAAAAAAGATGGAAAAAGCTAGCAAAAGAACAAAGTATCTGCTTGGAGATAAAACACAAAGCTAAATGGCTGAGCTGTTTAGATATATTCTCTTAACTTTATGACGGAATTGGTAATCTTTTTCTTTTCTTCTGGCATGACATTCTTTGACGGAGATTACTACAATGTCGGCATCGGTAAAATATCAACATGATTTGAGTTGTTAGATTTGAATTTGGTGAACTTTTTTCGTTATTTTTATCCAATCGACAACAATATTTTATCGAAACCGGCATTATAGGAAGGTTGGCTGGTTAATGCTTGAATTTCTTTATGGAATGGTAGGCAAATGTTATAATTGCCAATGCTCCTAATTAAGAACTTTCCTTTCAAATTTGCTATCATGAGATACTGAAAATTGTATCACCAATTATGTTGCTACCTACCATGCATTGACTGGAAGTTTCATCCCAATTCATCTAGAAAATTACATTCACTAACGTATCATATATTTGCTGTGATGCTTTTGAGTTTCTTTTAGGATTTTGTAGTTGAATCTATTCTTATATAATAAAATAATTTTTAATGGGTTTTGTATATATTGAGATTCTGTATAATTCGATTTTTTTGATTGAGACCTTAAGTTTTTTATTCAATTTGAGAGTACTACTCTTATGTTATTATTATTTCGGACCCTAATATACCACGTAAACATTTGTGGTAAGCTCTAGCCATTGACGACTTGTCATATGTCATGCTGGCCCAAATTGGGTGATTGAATTAATGAAGAGCACTCACATGGCAAAATGTTATTAGCTAGGGTCCGAAACAACGATATAAGAGTAGAACTCTTAAATTAGATAGGAAAAAAATTTAGAGTTTTAATTAAAAAAGAAATCCAAATTATATGAGATTTCAATATGCATAAAACTCAATTTTTAATATGTTTATTATATTTTTAATTGAATTGATTTTATTTTTTAATACACGTTAAGTTTACAATTTATCTATTTATCAAAATTTTTAAGCTAAATTATCGAATTATTCACATAATTTAGACATGACGACTTTTTATTCCAAAATACTCTTACAAGTCGGTCTAACGAAAAGTTCTTCTGTGTAAATCGTGTGCATAATGCTCATAATTTGAACATGATGACTTTTTATTCCAAAATATTCTTACAAGTCGATCCAATAGAAAGTTCTAATGTGCTAATCGTGTGCATAATGCTCATAATTTGAACACGATGACTTTTTATTCCAAAATACTCTTACAAGTCGATCTAACGGAAAGTTCTTTTATGTAAATCGTGTTCATAATGCTTATAATTTGGACATGAAGACTTTTTATTTTAAAATACTTTTACAAGTTCTTATAGCCATTGACAACTTGTCATATGTCATGGTGGCCCAAATTGGGTGATTAAATTAACGAAGAGCACACACATGGAAAATTGTTATTAGCTAGGGTCTAAAACAATAATATAAGAGTAGAACTCTTAAATTAAATAGGAAAAAAATTTAGAATTTTAATAATAAAAAATTCAAATTATATAAGATCTCAATATGCGTAAAACTCAATTTTTAATATGTTTATTATATTTTTAATTGAATTGATTTTATTTTTTAATACACGTTAAGTTTTCAATTTATCTATTTATCAAAATTTTTAAGCTAAATTATCATAATTATTCACATAATTTAGACATGACGACTTTTTATTCCAAAATACTCTTATAAGTCGATCCAACAAAAAGTTCTTATGTGCAAATCATGAGCATAATACTCATAATTTGAACATGATAACTTTTTATTCCAAAATACTCTTATAAGTAGATCCTACAGAAAGTTCTAATGTGCAAATCGTGTGCATAATGCTCATGATTTGCACATGACGACTTTTTATTTCAAAATACTATTAAAAATCGATCCAACAAAAAGTTCTTATATGTAAATCATGTGTATAATGCTCATAATTTAGACATGACAACTTTTTATTTCAAAATACTCTTATAAGTTATTCCAATAAAAAATTTTATGTGTAAATTGTGCGCATAATGCTAATAATTTAACATGAAATTCATGCCGGTAAGATTGATTACACATTTAATAGATATTCCATGATAAAATTGGTTATAACCCACTTTTTTATTTCAAAATTCAAAAACATTACATCATTGCCATTGCATCCATCCAATAGCAACCATTGACTGAGGAATATTGAATATCCATGCATTTGTTATTCACTTGCGTGCAAGTGAGATCTACTTGAGCAATATTTACATTTGAATCATTAAAAACATGGCGACCAATTTCTCCCATTGATTGACCATAATAAGGCAGTGTGATTCTTTTGCCAGAAAGTGACAGGGGAACTAACTGTCCTCTGTCTGTGGTTTCCTTACAACAAGATCTCAGTCTCCATTCTTGGACCATTCAATAGCCACAGGAATTGCTGTTGACTGTTTTTTCTTCCTTTTTTGAATACTTGCTATTGGCTGCTAAGAAACACGTTTCTTAACTTTCATGTCTTCTTACCCCACTGGCCACTCCAGTCTTCACCTGCCGAATTCTCTCGTGCTTAACTACCAAGAAAAGAGCCACCAGCTCTGGTGGTTGGGGAGGCATCACGAGTGTGGACACACAGTGGTTTGGTGACCAAAAGAATATATGCAAATGAAATGATGAGCTAGATTAGGGGCAGACAAAGGCATGCAGGAGGAGAATTGGGGAAGAAATACAAGGCGTAACTCATGCCAAGTACTATATATTATATTAGATTATGACATTGAAAAAAGAGTTCGGTGCGCATATGAGACTGACTAAACGTTGTTGAGCTATAAAACTAGGCATGGCTAAATAGAAGATTAAATTATAAATTAGTCCCTCTCGTTTAAAGAAACAAATTAATTAATTTTTTTTAAAAAAACAAGTTAATTATTTAGTCTTTATGTTTTAATTTCGTCAATAATTTAGTTTTTTCATCAATGAATTTTTAATTTTGAATGTAACCTTTCTTAACTTTAATTTTCTTTTTAGATTTAATCTTTTTTTGATTTTCACTTTTAATTCATTTGAAAATTTGAAAATCAGCTTTTAAACTTCTAATTTCAAATTTAACTTTTCTTAATTTTTTTTATTTTGGATTTAATCGTTCTTGTGAAAATCTAATTTCATATTTAACCTTTCTTAACCTTTTTTTTTAGATTTGATTCCTTTTTGTGATTTTCAATTATCTCCTCTCTTATAAAAAATTTCATTTTTTGGTATGTTAAACTGAAAAATTTTACACACCCATTAAGAAAAATCCAATCCATTTCCTAATCTATTTTCTGGAAAAAAAAATCTCAGAATTTTTAATGTTGAGAAGTGTATTTATTTATTTTTGAACATTAAAAAAAAATCCTAACTAATTCCTTTTTTTTTTTTTGGGAAAAATCCCAGATAATTTTCATCCTAAAGCTATTTATATGATCATTACTTTTAATTAAAAAAAAAAAAAAGAACTAAATCTCAAAAATAAATAAAATCCAGAAAGATCAACCTCAAAATTAAAAATTCAGATACTGAAAACAAGCAGATTAAAGTTTAAAAAGATTTTGACCCATTTAGCCAGAGAAGAAAGATTTGAAGCTACCGTTTGATGCCAGCCTAAACCTTACAGGTTAAAGACTTTCCAATCAATGGGCCTGTTAGTAACAATAACAGCAGTAGTCATTTCATGAGCCTAGAAGAATGCATCAATTTAACCTGACATTCTCTTTTGCTCCTAAATCACGGCCCTTTGTTCTTAGGATTGATGGGAAAAAACCCGGTCAAGAGTTCAGATAAGATAAGAACTGATATTAAGGGGAAAAAAGGAAATACAGCACTTATACATTCATTCACTTTATATGCCACCTTCTACTGTATCAATCTCTGCTACTGATAAGAAGCAAGCAAGCAAACAATATTTACAAGAACATCTGTTTATTTTAAGCAGGGGCCAGCAGCACCTTCATATTTCACCAGTGAGTCCCATCACCTTTTGAAAGGTACATTACATATTAGTGGATAAAGGGGAGGAATTTGAGACACAAGCCCCAAACTAGATCCTCTACGCTGCCTCGGCAAATCCAACTCTTAGCTTTCCAGAATCAAACACAGTGTGGTAACGACCCATGAAAACGTCTCCCAGTATCCTGAAAATTGCCAAAGATCAACAAGTTAAGACTCAAGAGGAACATTATGACCATCTACCACTATGAGATCTTTTGATTTATAAGATGATTAAAAACAAGTAAAAGTATGTTTTTAGGATCATTTGAAAGGTTTGTTGAGAATATGACGTACCAGAGAGGTCCGCGAGGAGGAGGTATATCCAAAGCAGTGAAGCCGCTGATGCATTGGGCAGCTGAACCCTCGCCGATCTTGAGAATGTACTGATCACAAACCAGGAAAAAGGCATTAGTTCTATGAACTGATATGCATGCTTGATATATGAGGCACATTTAAGGGGCATTGTTTCATGCCATAGTAAGTTGAGTTGGATGTTCAATAGGAGCTGAAAATGGAGGAAAAGTTAAAAAGACTCTATTCAAATTTCTTCTGTGGCCATTACTACTACTAGATATACAAGTTTAGACAAAAGATATCCATAAAGACTATCATCCTAATACAAGTGGCAGTGCTTAGAAGAATCTTAGTGACCGTCGATCAAAATATCACACAATTTTGTAATCATCTTAAAGCAAATAAATAAATATCACTGATATCTCGCTATTAAGATGAATAGCTGTTGCATTTCACCAACTTGTGCATTCCAACAAACAGTTAAAAGTGCATACTTGCAAGGAAGTAGAGGGGGAAAAAAGGGAAACTTCCCTGGATAGCATCAACGATAAGAATGAGTTCAGATACCATACCTCCTCTGGGGCAAGCTTAAACTCTTTGCCTCCAATTGTGAAGGCAACTGTAGGCATGGAAGGAACACTTCCACAGTCAACGGCTGATTGTCCCATCGGGTTTGGCATACGTTCACAAAGCTGTGACAGTGTCATAGGTATTAGCAAGAGAAGCATATCCCCAAGGCCCAAACAATTAAGGAATAATGCATGTATTATCATCTCATTGACAAAGTTCTTTTTTTTTTTTTTTTGTAGTGATTAATATATAAAGTACTAATGCACATTTAATTCACCTGATTGGCATAGTCCAATATACGATCTTGTGTCTGGTTCTGCTGCAGCTGGCTTCGCATCCAGACAACTGTCATTTCACAAGCAGAGCACATAGCATCACCAAGAACACCAGATAACTTGTCATTGCCCTCATCAACCAAGCTCTGAATGCCCATGCTAAGCAAAATTGCAAACCACTAAATTAACTGCCTATTCACAACACAGGGTAAACCTTTCTAGTAAGGAAAGCAGCAACATGCATGGTGGCAAAAATTTGCTTCCATGAAAAAGGGTTGGTATCCAAACGAAGGGGTGCACTTAAATGAATTTCTTTTTGTCTTGTCAAAAAAAAAAGAGAGAGAGAGAGAGACGATATCCAGGAGCAAAAGTAATGCATCCCAGTAAAACTGTGAAAGCCAAAGCATAAAAGCAGAACATCTTTAGAACCCAACCTTATTCCACGTGTTCCATCAAATGTGCAGAGTCCAATTTGAGAGCAAATCTTCTGTGGCTGTGCCTGTAAATACGTAGGTAGGAACACAAATAAATCTATAAATGCAGTCTACACCCGTTTTCTCAAGGTAAAATTTATATCAGCCAGGGTTAAGAGAGCAAACATCTGAAATAAAATAAAGCCAGTTTTCACCTCAGACAGAAGCAAATCCATAATGGCTTCCCCATACTGTGAAACAACAGCCTTGCATTGCTGGCTAACAACTCCAGAGGCTCCAATGGCATGATTTATCATGGTAATTATAGTCTGGAAAAAAAAAAAAAAAAAACAGACAAACAACCAAAATATTTTAAACATAAGCAAATTGACAAAAGAACTATGGACCTGCATCATAGAAGATTCTCATATTGCCCATAGATGCTTTGTATCAAAAATTATTATTTTCAAACCAAGGTTAGATTCTACAAGTCTATTAGATTGTTAAGTCAAATGACAAAAAAATGAACATTATCAAGTTATTCCAAAGACATAAAAAGGCTACAAAATAATCACATTCACAGCTTCCGTATGCAAGTACAAGTCAAGTCAGAATCCATATCAGATAGTTGTAAGGAGGGGCAACAAAACACAAGAGAATGAACACATCTTTAGATCTTCAAATCAACAGAGGAAAAATAATTTTCCGTTACTTCCATTACCATGCCTCGTGGCATGGCAGCACCCGTACTATTGACATGGTTTTCCAGTAGAAATGTTGCCATAGGGCCCCTTCTTCCAATATTACTATAATTCCTACTCCCATCTCTTTATTCCCTCTTAGTTTTGAGCAGGGGGAACCATTCTGTTTTGGTTCTTCTCCGCACAGGTGAAATTACAAGAACAAACATTATCAAGATATTGCAAAGAAATAAAAAGGTTACAAAAAATCACATTAAAAGCTACCATGTGCGCGTACCATTCAAAGTCAGATCCATATCAGATAATTGTATCCAGAACAGGAGCAACAAAACAAGAGAATGAACTCATCATTAAATCTTAAAACCAACAGGGGAAAAATATAAGTAGCTTTTTACTTTTTCATCAATTCTGTTCTAGTCAATCCACACAACTTCAACTCAAGGCCAAGAAATAGGATAGCTAATCAGTTAGCTAGCATACTGAATAAGATACCAACAAGTATACATCCAACAAGCTGAAGCATTGTTCATACCGTTGGACCTGCCAATAAGGAAGTTCCAGAATCTGCAATTGCTGCACAACCGCCAGCACAATACCCTGAATAGCAGTATGCTTAGGTAATCAGACCATATAATGACAGGTAGTATAAAATCATATGCTATAGGCACATAGATACATGTAGTCATAGATACAACTAATTTTTTTACCTGCAACGGACAAAATACATAAAATTATTTTTAAAAAATTATTTTATTTTGATATCCCGTGTTATATTATGCAGCTACCAAAATATATCAAATCAAAACTAAATAAAAATTCATTCAATTTTATTATTTTTTAATCAAAATTTTGCATTTGACTAATTATTCTTTATGTTATATTTTTTTATCAAAAAATCATTATTTATTTATCTCTATTCACATTTTTAACTAAAAACTTATTTTGTAAATTATTTTTTTCCTAAACATCTTTTTGCCTTAAAATTTTTAATTAAAAAAATCGGAGAAAAAAAAAGTAAGGACAAAAGTGACCAAAATGAAACAAAAAAATAAGACCAAAATTAAATAAAAAATATTTACGTACTAAAAAAAATTATATAAATAAAAAAAAGATCAAAGTGTAATGTCACAAAAAAATTTATAATAAATATCTTAAAAATATTTAAAAACTACAAAAATACCACTGCATAGTGAAAGGAATAATGCATCCGAGTCCGGATGAATAATAAATATGAGTCTGAATAAATAGTGTTTAGAATAATCCAATAAATAGTAAACTAATGTTTTGGTCTAGTTTTTTTTATAAAATATAATAATAATATATCTTATTACAGAGCTTTGCTCTACTGGTATATTTGAGTTTCTATTTAAACAAATGGAGGTAATAATT